TTTGCCGTGTCTCGCCAATACACATGCACTTCGTATTATTTTATGAATTTCAATAATTCATATATAAGGTTTGGTCACATTCGTTCGGACGTGGTTTTTCATTGAAAATTGTATCGAACTTGCTTAGGCATAAATGAGTCGATACGATGTAGCAGCAAATGTTAATTGATGCTTATTATTTTTTCTCTCTCATTTTGTGCTCGCACTCGATCATCAAGACGATTTTTCAAGTAGAAACAAAAAAAAAGAGTTGCGATACAAGAACGATGTGTATATTTTATGATGTGTTATCTTAATCCATTAGCATGGCTTTGTGACCAAAACATGAGAATAATAAACATTATAACGATTTGTTTTTCGTTTTTGGCGAGTATTTATTACGGAAAAAAGATGGCAATTTGAGGAAGTGATTTCAATGGTAAAATGCCTAAAATTGGCCAAAACATTTTCGTACATTTCAACTAATTTATGGTTTTTCACACTGTTTCGACCATCCATCGCGTTTGGATTGCGTCAATTCGAGATTGTAACATGTGGCTTAAAACAAACAAAAAAATGATTCGTGACGACGCACACACACAAAATCGAAACAAAAAAATAAATATGTTTCATTTTCTGCGTTAGAATATATTTGTTTGTGCTTCGAGCTTTATCGAGCAAACAAATAATTTCGGTTGTCAGGCTTGCACACACGCTGTTCACACAGGTAACAAATATTATAACGCCCGGAACAACGTTCATATATATATTATTTGCGTATTCGTTTTTGAATGGGAAACAGAGAATCGAAATGAAAATCATGCTCGCGTTGAAAATCGGAATTGGCATATGCCCGCACAAAAGAAGCGAAAAAGATTTATGACTGTATACAACGCAAAATTGATGATTACATTTAAACGTATTGTGTGTTGTATTGTAAATGGGCGGTTTTTTTAATTCATTATTTTGCCGAAAGTAAACACAATAACCTCAATGAAATATGCAAATTTATTTATTTATTATAAACATCACACAATGAACGGTAGTGACGATATCGTTGGCTCTTTATTCTTGCATGTGTTTGTGTCACATTTTATGTATTAAATATGTTCAAATCATCATCATCATCGTCGTCGTCGTCGTCGTTGTCATCGTCGTATTTTTTCTCAAATCATTCAATGACTTTTTCACCGAAGCAAAAATGGCATTGTTGAAAAGAATGTAAGAGAGCTAGAGATTGTACGCTCGTTGACTACATTTATAGGCTAAATAGTTGGCACGTTTCTTGTTCAATGGTCGAACGTAAATCATGTGAGACACCGCGTGAACACACAATGGACACAATTGGCGAAGCCAATGAATCACAAAAAGAAGCACACGAATTTTGAAGCCAAACTCAAGCTAAATACGCTGCACACACACGATACACCCATTTTATGTGTACACAGAATATATTAAACAGGTGATTAAATAGAATGATGCAAAACACAGATAAATTGTAATCAAAAGTGACAAGAGACGTTATTTAAGGTTGTTTGGGGCAATTCGAAAGGAACGAAATAAAAAAAATCATTTCTTTTCTTTCATTTTTGTTTGTCAATAACATAATAATGTGCCATGATCAAATAGACACAATATCGCAACGAGTGAGAGACAGAGAAATAAAATAAAAATAAATTGCCGATTATGAAACAAGCGATTCGTTTGTTTGATGCAATTGACTGATGTTTGCCCATCGTTCCGTCAATCGGTGATACGATTTGAATGTGTGTACCATTTTTAATTCAATTTACAGGCGCACATCTGTTTGCTGATTTTCACAGTGTGTTGCACTGTGCATGAACAGAAACGATCTCTCTCCGGTCACAACAGGATGTGTCGATAAGTATTTTACTTAATGACAATCAAATTGAAAAGAAAAAAAATGATACCCCATGCAAAAACAGTCGAGAATATATCCTTTCTCTTGTTCGCTCGCTCTCTTTATCTGGAATGAAAACAATTGTAACGATTGAATGTTTTTTTTAAATGCCCTCCAGTATCGATATCGATATACCGATTACGTATGACCTTGAGCAAATGTATTTTGTGATTTTATTTGTACACATACTCTGTATGTATCTCTGTCTTTCTGTGTTTCTCCCTCGTTTCCATTTGCTTTTTGCAGCTGATTCATTGCATTGTTTTTTTTTATTCGCGCAAATGCTTTTTAACAGAGTCAATCATCATCGGATCTACGAATACATATCGATGTAAAATCATACTGCATATAAATGATACATGTAAATTGATGAGCAACAAACAATCGAACTAATTGATTTCCTATCTTCCTGTTTCACTCACATTCGATGTACATCGAACTATATAATTGTTTGCCTATACCATATAAGCGAAATGAAACCCTTTTTGCGCTATACAACAACGTGAAACGCAAAACAAGCACAAGAGAATCTGCATAAGCTGTCAGTTCAAATGCAAATCAATTTGAAAACTTCGATAGTTTTTTCTCTCTACTGCTACTGCTGTTGTTATTATCATTATTGCGCTGGTGCGTCTTAGTACCAGCATGTAGTTTGTGATGAGGTTGCCCGTGTGGTTTTTGCCAGTCAATATTTTAGATTTCTTTTCATGTGCAAGCGAAATCGTATCATTTTTTTTTGCAACGGCGTAAAAAAATCATAAAATTAATGTATTTGGCGACATATCGTACCAATAAAATACGCGGGCGAAATATGTACGATGCAAAAAAATGTAGATTGCATGGAAAATATGCAAATGATAGTTGTTTCCCCTTTTATTCCGTCATGATCAATTTGAAATTGAATTGTCATTTACAGATTATGCAATTGCAAACTCTAACGCTGTTTCGTTCGTTGCTTCAGTTCGTGTAGCACGACGACGTCGAAATATGCTAATTTGCGAATCATTAATATTCGCATCATCAGGCATTTAAATCGCGAGCGCACAAACAGCGAATATGCTTTTTTCTCTCCTTTACATCGTGCTTGTTTCCATGTTACTTTGTTCGCAACTGAATGAGAAATGAGTTTGTTGCTTTTTTCAGTTCGGCTCTCTATCGCTTTTCACGCTTCGAAAAAAAAAACAACCGTATTCTGAAAGTGTACTTTGGGACGCTACTGTTAGCCGCACAGTGTGAATGTACAATGGCAAATTATTACTTAACAAGTTATATCAATCATGCAATGTTTTATTATTAATTGAGGAAAAGACAATGCCGGCGAACATGAGATGCGAACGGCGTATTTCATATCCAATTTTTTTTTACAGTTTCGAATGTATTGACGTATTTCTGTTTTTTCCGCTCTCTCGTGACGTTGCATGGGCAAAGGACACACAAAATCGGTTTAATGAATGCAATAAATCAACAAAACTGTATATATGCCGTCGTTATGCTGGGGCGTTTTATTTTTTCTTCATTCATTTAAATGCATTCGAAGTGCTAAATGTTCTAAATATATTCGAGTGCAATTTAATGTTCAGGAATAAATGATATATTAAGGCGAATGAAAAAGCAAAGAAAAAGTTTGTTGTGTCTCATTTGAAAAGTTATTGTTGCTTGGACGCAAGGCGAAAATACATCACAAGTTTGTTTTAAATTAACCACAACAACAACAGCAAAGCTAAACAAAACTTCCAATAATAAATAAAGACCAATAAAAATGAGACTCTCTTACTACACTTTTTTTTTTATACGAAATTATTTTTGAAGAAGGCGAGAGAGAGGAAAAAAAGCATATTACGTTCATCGCTACGTGATTTGAAATAATGTATATATTTTTTTGTTCGTAGTTTTCGGTTTCTATATTTAAATTCCATTGCCCGATATATTCAATTCACATGCGAAGAGCAAAAAAGATCCCAAGAACAAGAGCGAAAACAATCTTAAATATTTATTATGTATTTGCACTGGTGTACTTTGATCGAAGCGTGTTTCTAGCATCGATACATTCAGGATAAATGGACAGAATATAAACAAACAAACAACAGCAACAACACAAAAATCGATAACGGATCACATCTATTGATGGAAAATACGTGTAGATTGAGTGGATTAACAGATCTTTAAACATGTTTGAGAGAGAGAGAGGAAAAAGAGCTCTGAGCACGAATATTTAATAAATATCACAAAACATATTTGGAATTACATATAAATGTGTTCCACATTCATGACACACAACCAAATTAAGGAACAAAATATTACCAGCCCACACAATCAAATTCAATCAATTTAATCTAAACTATAGTGTACAAAAACAACAACAACCATAACCAAAATAACAAACGTCATTGCCACCAAAATGAAAAAGAAAGTGTCGTTAAACTAATTTATATCGTGTTGAGTATTTACAAAGTGATTGAAAATGAAACGACCCGGAGAATTTCAACAATTATACGCGCTGTCATTTCCATTTCGTTTCGATATTTTTGACGCGCATCAGAATTCAATAAAATCAACATGCGTAATATACATCCATCAATATAAACCGATGTAAAACTGATTGAATGAACATACATAAACATATTCAATCAGTTTTATATTGATAATTATTATTAATTGCTATGCACAACGACAACTACGGAGAGGAAATGCTTGCTGCAAAGTGGAATTTACTAATTCAAACAATTTTGTGCGCGTGTTTTTTTAATATTTCGTTTATTTGAATTGAATGAAACGAACTTTCATATATAAACAAAATCAATATGTGACTTAAATTTAATAAACGAACATTAAACGAGTATTATAAAATTGATGAACAAATACGATGACTCCAATATATATATTGAAAATTAAGTAAAACACCATTAAATTTGAGTCAACTAATATTAGTTGACTCAAATTTAATGGTGTTTTACTTAATTTTCAATATATATTAAACGAGTGTTAACACCAAAACTCTCCATTCCATTACGGCATCTTATTGAAATTCGTTTGAATAATTGTTGATTTATGATTTATTTAATTTTTTTCATCTTTCAATTTTTTCGTTGTATTTGAATAGTACGTGGCGCACGACCTGGAAAAAATGTTCAGCTTAGTGAGGTAGACATTCGAAATCTATGCCTTAAGTCACGTGAAATATTTCTGTCACAGCCAATTCTGTTAGAATTGGAAGCTCCGCTGAAAATATGTGGTATGTATGATACGATTTTCTAATCTGATATTCTATTATTTATGGTAACCATCGATTTTCCTATAATTAAATAAAACAACAACAACAAACATAGAGACATATTTAACCTTGACGTTTCCGTCGTGGGAAATGGTGACGTGTGCTCTGTATTGAATAAATGATGGTGTGATAAGTTTGTGCCTGGGGAAAATCGATTTTTCGTTGAACCTGTCTAATTATAATAAAATTCAAGTTTGTTACGATTGCTGACCTACCATATGATTTTTCGACCAAGGACCAAACTAATAATCATTGCGTCCTCCGAACAAGAACTACAGAAAAAAGAGAGACGAGACTTGCATACGAATGAAACAAGATGGAGAATAAAACGCTTCAAATTAAATATTTAAAGTTGTAAACAAGTTCACACACACACATTCATGCATGCACAAAAATGCGGCAACACGAGACTATGTAATCCAATTTGAAATTTTTATTTTCTTGTTCAACGCACACAGCTGTCTACAGGCGCACGTTTCCAAAAGGCGATTGACATCATTTTCGCTTTTATTTGATGTGATTTAATGATGGCTATTCTTTCTTTTTTTGTCGCCGGTGTCCGCTTTCCATCCGTCTTTTTGAATACACGTCTCTTACCGTTGCACGATTTCATTTTTGGTTGATAATTTATTTTTGTTCGTTTTCCATTCCGCAGGTGACATTCACGGACAGTATTACGATTTGCTGCGTTTATTCGAATACGGTTGCTTTCCGCCACAATCAAATTACCTATTTTTAGGCGATTACGTTGATCGTGGAAAACAATCACTTGAGACGATATGCCTGTTATTGGCATACAAAATTAAATTCCCGGAAAATTTCTTCTTGTTACGGGGGAATCATGAATGCGCTAGCATTAACAGAATTTATGGGTAAGTTAAATGTTTCAATTGTTAATTATCTTGCATTCGCATTTTTTTTTTCTATGTTTCAATTGTATTGTTGTGAATTTATCGTCGTTGCAACAACGACGACAATATCTTAACTTAAAACGAATAAATTGATCCGACTTCATTGATGCGATGCAAAGACGCAGACATTTATTACGATCAATTACGCAAATTGATGGTTCTAATTAATTGAAACAAATATGACAGTTTGTCAGGCAAAAAATGAGAGCCAAGTCATATTTGGTGTATTTTTAGCACCAAACGGTCGATTAATTCATTTTTAATTGAAACGTCTCGTTTAATATCGAAAAAAATTATATTTCTTACTCCTAATGGTTTGCCAATGTTTGTCTCTCTGTGTTTTCTTCTCTATGTCTTTGCTTCAATGTGCCTTGCATCATCCAAATACAATTTCAGATTTTATGATGAGTGCAAACGTCGCTACACTATAAAGTTATGGAAGACGTTTACAGACTGTTTTAACTGTTTGCCAGTTGCTGCTATTGGTACGTAAATGCACAACTTTGTGTATAAAAAAACAAAAACATAATAACAACGTTAAAAGTTTCAATGACCATCAAACCATATAAATCAAAGCATAAGCTAATTGCACTTCCGTTAATTGCTTTATTTGCCATACAGTTGATGAGAAAATCTTCACGTGTCACGGTGGACTCAGTCCTGATCTTGCTTCAATGGAACAAATACGTCGAATCATGCGACCAACAGATGTACCAGACCAGGGTTTGTTGTGCGATTTATTGTGGTCAGATCCAGACAAAGATACGATGGGATGGGGTGAAAATGATCGTGGTGTTAGTTTTACATTTGGTGCAGAGGTAATTTTATCGTCGAAATAAACACGTGAGAAAATGAAAACGGAATCCATTGATTGATTCATGTTCGATTCGTTCAAAATAGGTTGTAAATAAATTCCTTCAGAAAAACGATTTCGATTTGATATGCCGAGCTCATCAAGTTGTAGAAGATGGATATGAATTCTTTGCCAAGCGACAACTGGTAACGTTGTTCTCAGCTCCAAATTACTGTGGTGAATTCGACAATGCAGGTAAACTGTCGGTCATCTATAAACGCCGCAAAGATGATCTAATCATTTGACACTAAACGTGGACGCTCAGGCGTGACACCTTTTTTCACTTTCTAAATGCATTTCTTTCTTCTTCTCGTTTGTGCCCCGGATCGATGATGACATTTGACGGTTGGAATAAAAAAAAACTGGTAAATAACAGGAGCCATGATGTCCGTAGATGACTCATTGATGTGCTCGTTCCAAATTTTGAAGCCTGCCGATAAACGTAGGTATGTGTATGGAGCCAACTACACTGGAAGACCTATTACCCCACCTCGTGGCGCTAATAATAAAAACAAAAAGAAATAAACGAAAACAAACAAACAGAAAAAAAAAGAATTCTTTACACAAACAGTTACAAAGATCATAAACTATTTAAACAACAAAAAACAGAGAAAACAAACCGAAAAAATATATATATAACTACTACACTTATTACTACTACGATTTATAAAACCAGAAAAAAAGAAACGTTCAACAAAAATGCATATAATACACATACACACACAGCGCGGTATCGTTGTTGTTAATCTTATTCGACAAATACATACACACCGACAGAAAGAGAGAGAGAGGAAAGGAGACAAAAGTAACTAGAACTGATAGCCTTCTATCATCTCGTCGATTTTCAATGTTTATTTCTTCTTCTTTTTTGTTGTTTCAATCAAATCATGCGTTTACCGTGTGCTCACTTGCGAAACGTGTGCGTATTTTTCAAATTTCAATTTCATCTCAAAATGCCATCTCAAAAAGGAAATTCTCCAATCGCACACACCATCAAGTTATAGCGTTTTTACAACAATTTTTAAGATAAAGCATCTGGTTTCAAAAAATATGCCCGTTCAAAACGGATATTTGTTATTCTAGTTTTTTTTTTTAATAAATTAAAATTGTTTTTTCTATTGTTAATCTCGCCGATCAAATGAATCGAATAAAATGTTAAACTATTTAAAAAAAAACACACACACAATTGAATATAAGCGGAAAACGACGTTTTTATTACAGAGTTAATATTTAAAAAAAACTTTTTATCGATGTGTGTTTCCTGCTTTTGTTTTGTGATAAAAAAAATGCTAATAAAAATGGCACACAAATTCCAGCGCTTTGTTTGCTGTTTGTTTTAATGCCATCGATATCTTCCGCTGCGTGTTTTTTTCGTCGATACTGCTATTATTCTGATAATATGCAAAATAATATAAGTGCCTACAGAATAGAAAATGACAGTAGCTGTTAAAAAAAGAGAAAGAGAGAGAGAGAAGAAATGAAGATTTTGCTTCGACAACATCCTTATATCGGACATTTTATTCGATGCGACGATGTGAAAATGAAGAAAATTATGAATATCGAAATGTTGTTATAGATTCAATTCGATTTTAATGGTGTGTTGCCAGACACCTTTAATGTATTTATATGGCATCATGAAAAAGTGGATAGAAATGTTCGCGCATATTGTTCGTGTGTTTTTTCTTCTTCTCTTAGCGTTAGCTCCATAAAAAAGTTGTGCACTTGGGCACAATTTCACAGCGCCCAATAATACAAAATATCCATGGCACATTCAGCGCAAATGCATTTTAAGTTTGTTGCCATGCAATTAGGTTGTTTCAATATTTCTCTCATCTCGGCACGGCGCGCATTCCGCACTGTTTTTTCTTCCATTTTTTTTTTCAATTACTCATTACAACGTAAATGGCATTACATCTACTGCATTAAAAAATGAAATCAATTCGCACACACTCTCTCTTTCATATCACAAACAAAGCCAAACACTCACGCAAAGTTTAAAGAATACAACTGCTTTTATCAGCACAAAAACAACAGTAACCGCATAAAAAAATGTTTTGTTTCAAGTCCGTGTGTCATCGTTGTGTATCGTTCGAATCGGCTGTTTGTGCCGGTGTCTCTTTTCGTGTCTCCCCCACACCATATGGAGTACCTTTGGTTCATTTTCTTCTTTGTTTGTGGTAAAAATCTGATCTTTTTGTTCGAGATATTTAATTGCTTTTTTGTTGTGTGTTTGTGTATGGCGTTTAAGGTGTTTTTTTCTCTTTTCTATTGAAGAATCACCATATTCGGTTATGATGTGTTATTTGTTTGATCCCCTTTGGATTTTTATTTAATTTTGTTGCATTCGGTGAAATGTTCGTCGAAACGCCAACAAAACTATCTTTTTTATATAGTTTTTTTTCTTCTTCTTTTTTAATTTAGAAATATACCGTTCGTTATATGTATATGTTTCAGTTTCGTTAAATGTATGCCCACTGTTTTATATATATATTATAACTTCGGAAATAAATCACAAAGACATATAGCAAAAAGAAAACAAAAATGAGCACACTTTTCGCGCTGAGAAATTTTGCTCCCATTTATGGTGACCACTATTCGGATATAGACATTTGAAATTTTGCGAATAACCAACATTTCATTTTTGTCTTTGTATGCAATTTGCATCGATTTATTCACCCGTGATCGCGCACACACACCACACACGCACACACACGCACACTCTCACACACAAAAATTATTTAGACGTTTTTTTATTCAACTCCCTCGTTGATAGTCGATGCGATTTGACAAAAATGAAATCAAAGCGAACCGTTTTTTGTTGGGTTAAATTTTTTCTGGCTTTTTAAATGAACAAAATAACGATGAAAAAAAAATTACACGCGCCTTACTTTTTTCTGGTTGTTGTTACTGTTATGCATTCAAATAGAGTTTTCTCTTCTGTATACTTGAAATTTGGAATGTGTTTTGACAAATTTATATCGAATTTTGTGATTTATTTGAGTAGAGTACAACAAAAGTTCGAATTGATGTTATTCATCTATTCTGTCTAGTTTTGCGATTCAAAGCAAATCGCGCATGTTTCATTTAGTTTGTTGAAATGTAGTTGTTTCAATTAAATTGCTGTAGAAGATTCTCGTTTTTATTCTATTCTCTTTCTATTCATTTTCTATTGCATACTTAACGAGCGAAATACCAAAGACTCAATCAATCGAACACATTCTTGCCATCAATGTCATTCATTCACAATGCTTTTATTCATGTCATGCAATTAATAAGCAATTTAAGTTCATCGTTCGATTTATTATTTTCCACTAACGAGAATTTTCAGTGATCAAAATCAAGCCCTTTTTTGCAAACAAGATATTTTCTTCATCAATTCGCTTTTAATTTAATCAATAAAAAAAAAACACATTCAGAATGCAATGGCAACAATAACCAAAAAAAGATTTATAAAACGTTTTTTTCCGTCTGTTTTCTTCTTAACTCAAAAAATTCCATTTTATCACATTTTTTTATCGTACATAGTTTCTATTCTCTCTTTTTTTGTTTTATATTTTCTTTTGTTTCTTTAAAAAAAAATCAAATCAAACAAAATAAATATTTTCTATATGTATATTTCATAATCATTAATTGCTTTCCATTTGATTTCATTTAGATTGACAATGAATAAAAGAAAATAAACAAATCAATCCCCCCACGCGGTTCAAATGAATTTCCATAACGCACAACACACAAACATGGCAGCAATAACTATCCAATAATGAACAAAAACAAACCGAAATAAAAAAAATAGAGAAAAAATAAAACAATCCAAAATGCATTGTAAGCTTACATTTAAACAGAAAAACATTTAGCATATGTGTCGTAGCGAATTTCAATCAGGCGAGAAGAACATGAAAAGAAAAATGAACAGAAAGCAAACAAAAGAATAAAAAAATTAATAAAATCACATAGAACAGAGTATCGAATGATTAAGAAAGTGAAACAAAGAAGCTACTATTACCAACTAAACTGTATGCAAAAATGAAATACACACACACACGCAAACACAAACACACATGAAACAAAATAGAACATTTTGAGATCAAGACACAGACACAGACAGTCAATGAGATCGATGGCTGACCGAGTGACAGAGAGAGTAAGGATCAGAATGGTGAAACTATTGCTATTAGCTGAAACTAATTTATGGAAAATCATTGAAGAGTTAAACAAAAATCCAACAAATTGTAACAAAGATACAACAATAAAAAAAAACAAGCAAACAACATATTAAAAATACTATAATTAAACTAATAATTGATGAACGATATTTATTTGAAAATAAACTAAACTAAATGAGAAAAAAAAATAAATTAAAATGTTGTAGTAACAATTGTAATAGATACAAAAAAAAATAATAATTAGCATTCAGCATAATGGCACCTGTTCATAAACACATTCAACAGGCCAAAGAATACCAATTCCAACCAAATCATTCGTTCCACACAAACAAATATGTTTTTGTTCTCTTTTTTGCCAACAAATATATTCTCTTCTGTTTTTAGAAAACCTGTTCAATCGCGCGGATGAATCAATTTTAGGCATTTTCATTTTGTTCACAAAATCCCAAATAAACAATAACAAAACAAATTGAATCCTCGCATCTTTTTAATTCAGTTTTTTGCATAGAATTCATTTTAAGAAAATATGTAAAAAAAATAATAAATAAATAAAATAATAATAAAATATATAGCAGAGAATCCACTCACATCCACAAAAAAACACACACTGAGAGACACAAAGAGCAGCATGGAAATTTAAATTGAATGGAAGTACACAACAACAACAAATGAAAAAAATCCAATTAAAGGCGAAGAACTATAATGAATGAAAGAAAGAAAAAACGAAGAAAAAAAACGTTAAAACTAATTCAACAATAAAAACAACAAAAAAATATATTATATTATGAATAATTAATTATGTAATTCTATGTATTAGACGAAAGATGGACGAGATGGAGCTGAGATAAAAAAAAAATAAATGCAAAAACAAATGAGCAAATAAAATAGGTTTTAAATTAAAAAAAAAGTTATACAAAAACTGAATGAAACTAATAAATGTGTAGTTCACATGCCATTCATTGACACATCAATAAGTAAAAATCGCGGGATCAGCGTGCAAGAAACGGAGGCGATTTATTTTGTGAATGAAGATCATTGGAAATCCCGTCGTCACCGCATATTATTTTCGCCACACAAAACAAATCAATTTCCGATTTTCCATCGGATCACGACGAATTTCGTATCACACACACATACAACACACTCAATGACATCAGCAATTTCAGTCGAGTTTCAATATTAGAGCAAGGAATGGCCAGCGATCTTCAATCGATGCGATCAGATTTACATAACACAATTCTATTAAATCAAGTGAAAATTGATAAAATCTATTGTATAAGTAACAGAGTTTCCAACAACAATAACAACAAATAAACACTGAAAAATTTAGCCGATAATCAACTCAAAATAGTATAAATAGATTATGAGAATATGATGGTCATATTCTTAATGTTGTCGTTTATTTGACAAACAAAAAATTAATAAGAAATACAAATTATTACTTGACAAAAGCAAAAGTAAAAGTCTCATTCGTAATAACTACTTAAAATATCTCTGAATCAATCATGAATGAAAGTAAAAGTAATAAAAAAAAATCACGATTGGTTTGAAACAACTGCATGCAGGCACACACATCCATAACAAACAAACGAAAAATTGACGAAGAAGCAATTCAGACTCAGACACACAACAGACACACACTCACACGCATCTCAAGAACCAGATGAACGATGATAGGACGATGATCAACGCTTCGGAGACAAAGCGAATCTAAATTTAAAGCGATTGTTTTGTTGTTCAATATTCACACAACATTGTGAGATAAAATTATTTATTCTTGTTTGGCATTTAAAAAAATAAAAACAAAACTCGTAGTCAAAAAAGTTAAATAAGATTTAAAAAAAATTAAGAAAAAAAACAAACACACAAAAGTTCACATTCATAAACTACAAAATACAGGCTCATAGATAATAATAATTACAATAACACATTGCAAGAAGAACATTTAAAATGGTATATAATGAATTGTCATATCGGTTTATTTTTGATTCGCGTAGACAAATTTCGTAGAGACGCAATAGTTAGATTGAATTCTCTTCATCTCTCTTTTTTCGCATCGGTTATAGTTTTCATTATTCAAATTATTGTAATTCTTTGTTTTAGTTAAAAAAAAGAGCGGATAAAAGATAAATAACCGATGTGTCCGTTTCACACCGTTCTTTTACTTCTTGTTTCGAATTATTTATGTCACTTTCTGTTGGCGCCCTCGCGCGTATACGTTTACTAAAAAATCCATCAAATAAGAATGAGAAAAATTCTAGTTCGAATATTATTATTATCATTTGTATGACCTAATGCGAAAGGTGTAAGAAAAACAATGATGCAAATATTCTTTAAAAAAACAATTATTGTGGATTTTTAAACAATCAATTTATTAGTATAATCAATCTTTTTATTCATGTTTAATTTTATTTTAATTTTTACAATGGAAGAAAACAAAATAAGATGACTACAAATTGTACGTATGTAGAGAAAAACACAAAAAAAAACAATGTGCGCGAAATTTAAAAATGAATAAAACAAGAGAAAAAAAATCAATCAACTATAAAACGATTTGTGAATTCCGAACGAAAATCGAATTATTACCATATGCACTTTTTATCAATCATTCCAAAATTTTATCGCGCCCAAAATTGCAGGCGCAATTATGTACAGAGAGGTGAGCTTCGAAATGGTTAGAGTGATTCCAATTCAAACTCTGTCACTCTCTGAACGAGACCATGAGAGCGAGAGAGAGAGAGAGTTAAAACAGAAAACCGGCAAGTATCATTTTACCAATTTCAATTCGAACAATAATAAGATGAAAAATCCCCAAGGTGAGATCGTGTAACTTCCGAAATTGAAATGATCTCCAGTCTGTTTGTTAGATTCAAACACACCAGAACCGTTTCGTGTGTTTTTTTTTTTTGTAATTTTTGTTATAAAGCCAAAATCGTTTCAAAATATTTTTTTCTCGAGAAAATGAAGCTAAGTAATACAGATTAAATGAAAGCGACAACAAAATAGTCTAAGTCAAGGATGCGAAACAAAGAACGAATTAAAGAAATGACATTAAAACCGATGGAGCGATGTAGTTTCAGTTACTTCTATTTATGTTAAACAATTTCTGAGAAATTAGTTCACGTCATCGATAAGGCAACTCAAGATGATAGAAAGGAGACAAGTTATTTTGACATTGACACTATTGTAACCAATTTATATTTATATGAAAACAAAAATCAATAAAGATAATAATTAAAACAAAAAAAAAATCACACAAAAATTAAGTGTATGTAGATGAAAATGGATGGGAGAATGTGTGCGTACAAGATTTAATTATATATCTAATAAAATGAGATAAGACAAACAAAATCGTAGTTTTGGTAAGGCATTTGGCATATTACCTGTCGTTGCTTGGATGCCCATCACTTTTGATACAACTGTCAATTTGCATCACTGTTTTCACTGGTAAGAAATATATAGGTTGCATTTTGACACGTCTCTTTCAAAGCGATAACGAACACAAAATTAAAATGAAAGGTATGTGTGTAGGTATTAAAATCGCAATCATGTCGATATGATTAAAATTGACAAAAATTCCATTTTTTATTATCTGAATAATAGAAGAGACTTGACTCCAAGTGCTATCAGCATAAATCAGTTGTCATGTCATGCAAGTTTTGATCTTTTCCAAAACAAAGAAGAAGATATTGAAATGCATTCACTGGCCAGATAGTATGCCAAAAGCCTATTTATTTAAATGAAAATATATATTCTTAGATGAGGACCTAACACTGTTCCCATTCTCACTCCGAAATTTTTAAAGCGATTTCAACACTTGATTCTACACAACCTCCGTTGATTAGTCCACAAAAAATAATAATTAACGTTGAATAAATTGGTGGAATCGTTTTCAAAATAGCGAGTCGGATTGGAGGCAAAGTCACAAACTTTAAATTGAAAGTAAAAAAAATATATATTTATTATATAGAAATATTTAATTGGCTGAATTAGATTCACTAAGAAGAACAAAACAAATACCAAAATAAATATAGAAAAAGAATCAACACGTTGCATGCATTTATTTTTTTTTTTTAATTTTTTCACAATAACCAACATCGACTGTTGAAAAACTTGACATTTCTCTACAAAGAAATTGAAATTTGTAATAAATTTTATTCATGAAAAATGTCTATAGCCCGTGAAAAACTAGCCGCAATCTTTCTATCTGCTATAGCAGATATGGAATTATAGTTCATCCCGGATTTGAGTTGAGGCAGTATGAAACCTAAAAGAGAATTAGAAAAGAACGATAAAAATTAATGGAATTCTTACGAAATTAATGGAATTCTAAAAGATTACGAACGCCCAGAATGCTGACGGAAATCCATGGACTTCACGAGATCGGATGACAAATGCTGAAAATGATGATATACAGTTGCCAATAAAGTGATTTGATTTTTCCATTATCATTAGATCCAAATGTGGATCTTTTTCATTCGTTCGAAATGCAGATATTTTTAGGCGTTTGAATGCTTCGTTCAGTTCTTTAATCATGAAGTCATTGTCCGATGCAACGAAAATTGATTTAATTCCATTTGTTGGATGTTTTGAATGGTAAGATTTGAGCTCTTGTCTTATTTGTTTAATGATTAGTTGTTTAGATGGTTCGCACATGTCGGGTGTTGCAACACCTTTCTCATTGTTATAGCCAACACATTGGGCGGCCGAAAATAACTTCGGACTATCGTTGATATGTTCGCATGCTCGCTTCCAATCGATTCCATTGCGTAAGTGAATAGCTAAATAGGCGCCTTTCGGTAAATTCAATTTTATCCAATTTGTTGCTTTTGATTGCATTTCGTCAGTCCAAACGAGATATTTTTGAAGTGCGATATTTTCTTTTTGAACTGGAAACGACGCAGGAGCACCTGTGAATGCAAGCACTGGCCATTTATTGGCCGGATACTTCTGATGCCACTTGTCAATGAGACCTGCTGTATGCCAAACATCGTAATGCAATGGTGCAAAAAATTCAGAACCAATGAAGTCTATCTTAAACTCATCCCAAAATGGACCGAATGGATTTCCTTCTTTCGCATGGCAATCTTTTTTCATAGAGCCACGCAGGCTCTTGCGCTCCATGTAACAAAATGAAATGCGTTGATCTTCAGGCCACACACTATTAGAGATTCTTTCCATAAACTCTTGCATTGTGATGACTTGATGGAATTGGCTAATGGGTTCCAGTTTAAAATATCTATCAAAAGGTACTTGTATCGATTTTGGTTCACCTTGACGATACTCAATCCATGGTGGTAGGATTAGAGTGCGATTTAATTTTTTCGCAAAATTTAATGCACCAAGAAAATGGTCAGCTTGATTGCCAAAACGGCCTGCAAAAAGCATAAATCTATAGTATAGTCTTTTAAAGAAAAAAAATCTTTCTCACTTACCCATACATGGACAGTAAACCAGATAACCGTTTGGATCAATATAAATTAACGAAATTTGACCGAAAAGATTGGTCAACAAAAACAACTGATACACTAGATTCATCTTGCAGCAAATAAACTAAAGTGTATAGGCAGCGGTTTACGAATTTATGTTTAAAAGTTCAAACGTCAATATTGAAGACTACAATGGCCACACTAGTGTCAAAATAAACAAGCTCCAATACATTCAATTGTCAAAATGATTATTTATATCAGTTTGAATCATGGCTATGAATAAATTCATGCATCCTCGGAATGTTTATAATGTACCGGCCGATTTTTCAAAATTAGCAGAAGAATTTGAAGAATTCAGATTAATAGTCATATATCGGTGGGTCTCTTAATTTTCAAATGATTATAATCAAAATAGCGCCAAAAATTAAATTCTTTAAAAACAATTAACTGTGAAACTAACGTTTATATTATATCTATAACCTGCAATAATAGTTAACTTTAATATTAATAAATATTTCAATTTATGAATTGTATACAGGTTGTGGTGCATCATGTATATATCCTTTGTTGGCAACCCGAATGAATTCAAATTGGCGAATGCTTGCCATTGAATTGAATGAAGGAAGTGTCAAGTATGCGCGAGATAATGTAAATAAAAATGGCTTAAGTGATCATATTCGAATCATCGAATGTGCTTCAAATGTCGATATGATTAAAATTGACAAAAATTCCATTTTTCATTATCTGAATAATAGAAAAGACTTGACTCCAAGTGCTATCAGCATAAATCAGTTGTAATGTCATGCAAGTTTTGATCTTTTCCAAAAAAGAGAAGATATTAACATTCATTCACTGGCCAGATAGTATGCCAAAAGCCTATTTATTTAAATGAAAATTATATTCTTAGATAAGGACCTAACACTGTTCCCATTCCCACTTCGAAATTTTTAAAGCGATTTCAACACTTGAATCTACACAACCTCTGTTGATTAGTTCACAAAAAATAATAATTAACGTTGAGTAAATTGGTGGAAACGTTTTCAAAATAGCGAGTCGGATTGGAGGCAAAGTCACAAACTTTACATTGAAAGTAAAAAAATATATATTTATTATATAGAAAGATTTAATTGGATGAATTAGATTCACTAAGAAGAACAAAACAAATACCAAAATAAATATAGAAAAAGAATCAACACGTTGCGTGAATTTATTTTGTTTTTGTTTCAGAATAACCAACATCGACTGTTGAAAAACTTGAAATTTAATAAACTGATATTTCTCCACAAAGAAATTGAAATATTTTTGTTTTGCTTCTTTGAATATCGACTCATTTGATTTGATTGAGAGACAACAGCCTCGATTTAGATTTTCTCATAAATGCGATACTTTAGAATGGGTGCGATGAATGTAACGTATTCATCGTCTTCCTTTTTCATCTCCATATCATCAAATAGTTCCATTAGTCTCTGGAAATAGACACCGTCAAATTCCAGATCAACCTAAAAATTCAAAGAATACGAGTTGGTCTATTGTCGACATCATATGCAAATAATTGTAATGCATACTTCCATCAGTGACCATAGACCGGCAATTTCAAAGTTCATCTTCACTGGTTTAAAACAGATGTTATAAATGTGAGCTGCGCGAACGTGCTGAGCCACCAGAACGGTTGGATACGTAACATCATTTGTTTTATCATCAAGAACCATATGCGCGGTGTATAGTATTCCATCAGCTTGCTTCTTAGTGATTAATCGACTCTACCTCCCAAACAATGAGACAATTGTATGAATGGATTAGCAAAAGAGGAAGTATATTTTAGAAGTGCAGTGTTACCTTCACCAAAATGAACACTATTGTGCTTATAAGAATAAATTCTTTTGGCAGCCCTTTGATTGCAGTCACTTCATCATCAGATAGTTTCATTATGAATGCGAGAAGTTTCCACTTCGTTGCAATAATCTCATTATTGCCTTCATGCAAATACAGTTCAATCAAAGGAGGCACTGAAACTGAAATAGTTGTTCGTCAATAATAATTCCCTTCATTATCCTTACAATCAATATCTACTTACAATCGGGATATTCGGGTTCTTCCTTGTATTCCTTAAATTTTTCATTGAATTTCTTTTGCGCCAAAAAAGTGAGAACAATTTGATTTTCGTCGGATTGTTTATATTTTTGTACAATGCCAACTCTACGTTTTGTCCAGTCAATCAAAAGTATCGGTAAATATTCGGCTTGCTCACAACCACGCAGATCGTAATAGTTCATATCAATCGAATATATTCGATCCAGTGTAGTCATGTACGTTCGAAATATGCCAGTCTTGGTTTTCGAAAGCCCTTCAATGAGTGGATCGTCATCGATTACGGGTGAAAAATTCAAATCGTATGATCTTACACTTTCCTTGATGAGATCTATTGCTTTCGCAGCATCATCATGGCGAAATTGAGCGACAACACGTCGGAAATCGGCATCTGAAGGATGAACACTATTCAATTTGCGTGTCCATCTGGCTGCCCGTTCAATTTGAGGTTTTCTTATGAAAAATTGTTCGTGAGTTAAATCGTTCCCAGCAAGGGAAGCAAATATCGGCCAATGATGCTCTTCCAACGATAAAATCTCTTTGATCGCATTTCTGTCGTACTGATTTATTTTAAATTCGTTTGACTGAGAAATTGGAATGTTATCCGGTGACCATAATTTCCACGCGCCTTCGAATATGAGAAAGTCCGTGTCTTGTGACATAACAGCCATAGCATTATGCTGAGTAGCATATTGTGCACACTCCAAATCACAGTCATAATGTACCGAATCGTGAAATTCACCGAATTCTACAGCAATGCTTTCCAATGTGTCAAACCATTTCAATGCTTTCGTATCTTTTTTGCTATCTAAAATGTCGTCAACCGTTTTGCCATCACTAATTTCATCGTATATATTGGCAAATCTATTAAAAACCTCGTCCTTCCGAGTAATCTTTGTCAAAATTTTTCCTTCCTCATTTTTTAAGTCGGAAAAAAACACCATGTGGCAACCAGTATTATGGATACTGTTGATCATTGCTTTCCATGATTTTGCAACGACTTTGTGGCGTCCACCGCAAATAGTATCTTTCGGATTTTGTGCCAATGCCCAGTGTGATATGCTTCCAAAATCGACAACAATTAATGGCGTTTGATCGGGATTTCCACTGCAAAGCCAATGGAACGCATTGAAATTATGTGATGAATATGTAATTTTATGTGCAATAGATTTGATGTTGCCGAATTTACCTTTTCCAGTTGTTGATTTCTTCAATAATATTAACGATATGAACTCGTTCTTCTCTTTTCAAAAATGTTTTCAAGCCAAAAACACCCATTTTGCTTACTTTGAATCGTTTGCGGTAAATATTATTGAATATTTGAACAAACCAATCACATGTCGAGCATCCAGTATAAGAGAAATACACCAAAAACTGTAATGCGAGCATTAACTGTCATTCTTTGCATATCGCAAATCGGTGCACAATTTAAAATGCTTATATTTATAATTTGAATGTAAACAATGTGACTGTACCGCAGTATTGGATATCATTTAGCGTAAAACGCAACCCTTTGGATGTGACACTTTCAAGATCACACCAATTACTAGATTGAAGATACTATTAAATTTTTGGAAATATCCCAGTTCTAGTCAACAAAAATAAATGTTTATCTACATTCAATGTATGGCCTTTTTCCTATCATTTACCACCAAATTCTTCGTCCATGCGGTTCGATATCATTTGAAAGACATTCAAATTGTGTAGCGCTTAAAATGCTGTATTGATGTGATTTGTTTCGTAGTCTAGCCAAAAGATGGCAATCGCATCGATTCGTTCGGAGTGAGTATTTTGACATACGGTGAATGATTGAAATGTTTTTGTGTTGTAATTTGCACGTATTGAGTGCCGCGCAGCCACCGTCAGTGCATGTGTATATTCGCTTCGTGATTGTATTTTCACATTCGCATTGATATCATGTTATTTGTGCGATGAGCCCATCATAAGAATTGTGTGCAAAAGAACGAGACCAAACTACTGTGAACTGGATCTATGGCATACATGTGTGTGCGTAGTTTTTTTTGTCTTTTGTCATCAATTTCATCTATATATGCAATAAATGTATCTGGCTCAAAGAAAAACACACGGAAAGCGAATCACGGAAAAACGCATCATTAGATGAAACTCACTGGAGTATTGAGTGTGTATAAAAAAGAGTATACGTTGTGTCAATTTTATATTTAGAAAATAGTTCGTCGACAAAAGTGTCGAAAAACCCATATGCTCATATCAGACATTGTTGTTATTTAGAGTTTTTTCGATTGGATTAAGTGGATTTTTACGAAATAGGTTAATTGCCATTAGAATTTTGTGAAAAAGAAAAGCGTTCCTAGGTGTTAGGTGCCGCAAACAAAGTGCAGTATTTGCTGAGACAGCGGAGAAGCGATTTCCAGAAAGAAAATTTACCGTGTCATTGAATGACCTAAAATTGAAAGTGAAGAAAATTCAGTGCAATTCGATTAATGTGCCACAACAGGCAATGCGATAAAGATGTCCTCACGTGTGTTGAAGAAATTGCATGGCGACAATGATTTGGAAGCCCAAGATGCGTCCGATAATGACAACAGTTTCATTGGTAACAGTGGCGCTCGCAAGAAGCAGTTCGATGGCAATCGATATGATTTGGTAAATATTTTATCATTTCTCTTTCTTCACTTCGTTCTATTTTCTCGGTGAATTTCATTTGAAATATTATTATGAATTGAATTGTTGGCATTTAAAAAAAATATGTATAAATCATATAATCAATGTCTTCCATTATGCATAGCACCATTATGGTGCTCAGCTGTTTTTGTTGTTGTTTTTGTTATTATTGTGTAATATTTATCTTGCGCATGAATCGCGACCATTCCAAGCACATATGTGTAACAAAAGAATTGAAGTTAAATCAACGTCGCAATTAGTTTTGTGTTTTTTTTTATAAAAATAGATTTTTATTTATGTATTTTCATTGTGAATGTTTGTGATGTAGTTCCAGCACGACGGATCGATGTCAGAGAGTGAAGTAAAAGAAGATGACAATGAAACCGAACATAATTCGACTGCAGCACCGAATCCATCTGAAATAAAGAAAAAACGCAAGAAGCGCAAGAAACGCAGTGGTAAACAAGGTGGATATCATCGCAGCAGCGAAGATAATGCTGACGTACGTATGAAAATGTTGTAGTTTTATTTTTATCATAATTGTTTTTTATTTTTCTTTCTCTATATTTTTTTTTTTGATATTTTATTGACAATGACAATAGTATATACATAAAACACAGAACACACACATACATGACTACGTTTTTAATTACATTTGCGGATTTTCTTTGTTTGAATAGATCGATGAACTGGCGCGCACTTTCAAAGGAATTAATCAAACGATTAACGATGAAAATAAACCACTATCAGCGAATCAATCGGCGGCGGCCACGCGATTGCTATCGGCAAAAACATTGCTGACAATTCAACATAAAAACTTGAATCCATCATTCGAAATGAAACGAATGTTTGGAAGCAAAGTCGTTCAAACGAAGCAGTAAGTTTATTTTTGACATCCATGACGCACATTTATATTCATGTTTTGTTTTTTTTCTTGTTCAGTACGAAATGGACGTTACATGATCGTCGAATGCGTGGTCGGCCATTTAAAGCAACATGGTTGGTAACGCCGAAGGAAAATTGGCCGCCAGCAAAAAAGGTTGGCATTTCCATGACGATTGATTCGTCAAAATCAATTGAAGCTGAACAATCGAGTAGCGGCCGTGGTGCAAACAAATGGTTTGTGTTCGAACATAGTGCAACGTATCGTCAATTGCAACAGAAATTCTTGACCGCCGTTGAGAGCATGGATTCGGATAATATCATTAAAATCATCAATCAGCAACCGTATCATGTAGACTCGTTGATTCAAATGAGTGAACTATGCAAAATGAGTGAAGATAATGCAATGGCATCCGAGCTAATTGAGCACGCAATTTTAGCCCTAGAATCGGCATTTCATTCAACATTCAGTTTAACCACCGGAAATTCTCGACTTGATTATCGTCGTCAGGAGAATCGTTCTCTGTTCATTGTTCTATTCAAACATGCTCAATATTTGGAGGGTAGAGCCTGTTCACGGACTGCATTAGAGGTGGCCAAATTGATTTTATCATTCGATCCCATAAGTGATCCATTGGCCATGATTTTGGTCATTGACTATTATGCATTGAGAGCCAAGTGCTATGATTGGTTGGCACAACTCTACGACGAATGGGAAGCATCAAATAATCTAGCACAACTGCCAAATATGGCATATTCGTATGCACTTGCACTATTTTATTTAAATAAAAATGGCAATTTAGATTCAGCTGACAAAGCAATTCAATATGCAATACTGATGTTCCCGGGTGTTGTTAAACCATTATTGGACGCACTTTCCGTACAGGTTGACTCTCGTGCCAATACGCATAAATACATTTCGTCATCGGCATACGACAAGTAAGTAGTTTTGACGATCTTATTTTTTGGCGAAACAAACGATTTTAAATAAATGTACATTTTTCAATCATCAGTCAGCCGGCGGCTTTGCAGCAGCTCACATCACTCTATGTTTCGCGTTCGAAAACTGTTTGGCGTGATACAGAGATACTCCCTTGGTTGTCGCGAAATGTGAATAGTGTACTGGATCGTGTCGATTTAAAAGATCCCATTGTCAATGAGTACACCACCAAACGAACTCAACGGTAAGTCCACCGACCTGAAACACTCTAGTTGTTGTATGCTAACGACTTTTTTCCGTATATCAGGTACAAAACACCACCACGACCAATTTTACGGCACATCATTTTATCGGATTTCAAAGAGAAGGTGCCGTTAGCACCTTTTATCAATCAAGAAACTGAGCCAATTGTGATGTATGACCCGTTACCACCGCTTGATTCGATAAATATCTATGCAAAACCAACTATGACCACACAGTCACGTCTGTTGCCGGATGCATCGCCATTGTCAATGTTTTTCCAGTCAATTTTACCAAATTTCAATGTACAAGGTGGCCGATTCGTGGCACCAGCCAATCGTGATGGTGCTGGCAATGCTGCCCAAAATCAGGATCCGGCGGTTGCATGGGATGAAAATGTTGCTCACGATCAACAACTTATGGATGAACTAAGACTTATGGGCGAAATTGATAACGGTTAGTCTTGATGAACGTTTTGAGTATTTTCGGTTTCTTGACCGATATTTTTCTTCTACATTTTTAGCTGCGGCTGTTGCAAATAACGAACTGAATCAACCATTCATCGAATTAAGAAACTCATTAACATCCGTTGTAGACGCAATGAGAGATTTTCTGTCGAATATCCGTGTACCGGAATTGCCAAACGATGCTGACGTCGATGAGAACGAAAGCACCGATGAGGATGCAAATGATTATCTGACATAAATTGCTTGGACCGATTAGAAGACCTATATGCCACGCATGAGATACTTTCTAGAGAAACATTAAATCAGTCTCAATTGAATCATGCAGAGTACTGCGTTATTACACAGTTCATTATAATATTTGGAACAATTTTTAAACGTTTCTACCCTCCGTTTTTAAAATCATTTTTTCGCTACAAATAAAATTTATTGTCGATATTAAAAGAGGAACATTGCTAAAGATATTATTAAATTTTTTGCACTCAATTTTAATCAGCAAATGACAACAGAAATAAATGGTCAAATACCAATTCTAAATATTTAAAATAAAAACTTTGTTTTTGATCAATTTTTCAAATTCTTTCGAAAAAAGCGAAAAAAATATTTGTGAAAAAAAAAAATTGTTGATAAAGTATTAAGCTTCACTTAAATGTGTCCCAAATTCTATACAATATATACACACACACATACACACAAACATCGCGTCGTGCAAACTGTCATAGAAAAGAAAATAATAATCTTTTTATCATAAGGAAAGCCACAAGCATTTTTAGAAGTCCTTTATTGAATATTTACTGATATTTTAAAGTAATTATATATATGTATTACAAATATTTGTGCTGAACACAGAGAGAAACATAATTTCAAACATTTACTAAAATCTAAATAAACGGATACAGTTAAAACACAGAGTTTCTTCATTTTTTTTTTTACCTTTGATCCACTTGGCGTCTTACCTGCTGATATATAGATGCTCATAATACCAAAACAATGTCCGTAATCTGGATGCCACCATATTAATACTGCCGTAATGTCAGTATTGGTACATTGTCTTCCCTTAATGAGTTGGACTTTGGAAAGTGTCATTAACAAAAACAATGTAGCTGTAATATTCGACCAAAATGACAGGTATTAGCCCACCTAAACTCAGAAGAAGGAAAAAAAAATGGTCAAGTGGCCGTAGTCATAAGAAGCATCTTATAGTCTTGTATTTAAAGTTCGAGAGTAAGCATCTATTCTATTTCTCCGTTGAGTTTGTAATGGATTTCAAATGTTGGATTTTTGTGTGGACAATAATTTGTTGTCGCCCACATTTCGAAGGTGCTGTATTTGGATTTTCTGGATTTTACGAGGACAATGGAGTAGATCAGACGATTTATGAAAGTACCATGGCACGCGACGATATCCATAAAATCAGAGAACATATTTTGGAAATGGTTGGATTAAATAATCGACCGTATCCCGAAGGCAACTATAACAAAACAAATCTGCCGTAAGTTAACGTTTTTTTTCTTCTCTCGAATAGTAAAACTGAACCTTTGAAAATAGATCATATAAAATTGCGATTTAATTAAAATAACTTTGTTCTTGATCAACTTTTATATTACTAATTTTGTTTTTTTCAATTCAGGTATAAAAAATCTCATAAATCCGTTCCCAAATTCCTATGGAAGATTTATAAACACTTGAACGAAGATGAAAATACGCAAATACTTCAAAATGATATCAGGCAAAATTCAATGAATGGAAACGATGAGATTACGGACGAACATGCTCAAATTATCAAGAAAAGTGACACCATTATGACTTTTCTAAACAATCGTAAGTACATATGCATTGAATTTTTTTGGTGTTGATACAAGTGTTTAACATTAATCATTTTTACTTAAGGTGATGCATTTCCAAATCCAAAAAATGAAACCCGTTTGACATTCGACTTATCTGAAGTTTCGCTTGATGGCATTACATTATTAATGAGTGAGTTTCATCTTTACAAACGGCCATTACCAGAGAAACACTTGGCTTCGAAACCATGCTTGATCACCGTATATGCAACGACTGTTGTGGATGGGTATGTTTTGCATTTATTTAAATATTCTTTGGACAATTTTAATAATTCATGAAAAAAAATCATTTCAATTCATTCAAACAGGGCTAAAGAATTGCATGTTATACAAACGGCTAAAACTACAGTCGGTTTTGATGGATGGATCCAAATGAATTTCACCACAAAGCTAAGTGAATGGATAACAAAAAAAGAGTCGAGTAACTTGCTGTATATAAGAATTGAATACGAAGACGAAATGGGCCATTGGGAGACGCCATCTATTAGTACCAATTTCTTACTCTGCTATTCAGATAATGAGCTACAGCCCTTTATCACTGCCTATTTTGAAAGTGAAAATCCCGACGGTCATGTTTTGAAGCATTCGTCGTTGAAGAAAGTGCCAGCTCCCAGTACGGTAAGAAAAAAGTCGATTTTATTGTTTTATATGTATAATTTTCAAAGGAGTCTTTTTCTCTTTTTTTTTACTAGAATCGTCGTTCAAAGCGCGATACTCAACAAACATCGACAAAGAAGCCGAAAAAACAACGACGCCTGCAAGATGATGCAAAGTCATTGCGATTAAATCAATTGCTTAATGCCGATATTAAACCTGATAAAACGTACAGAAGTTGTTCACGCCATGCATTATACATTAGTTTTAAGCAGTTAAGCTGGGATGACTGGATTTTTGCACCAGCCGGATATGGCGCTTATTATTGTGCGGGTACATGTAATTTTCCGTTTCAGCATGATACAGAAGTAACGATTCATGCCATAGTTCAAGAAGTGGCTCATCTCTTACAAGATCATCGCATTCCGAAGCCTTGTTGTGCCCCGTCGAAGTTGCAACCATTATCTCTACTTTATATGCAAAACGAAACCAGTGCTAGCATTAAGAAACACAAAGGAATGATTGCTACAAAATGCGCTTGCCAATGAATAAGAAATGTACAAAAAAAAAACAACAAAAAAATGATTATTATTATTAATACTTTACTGATTATTGATACTTTAATTAATTTAATTCTCGTTTTAAATGACATATTTTTCAGAACAAAACACAACACATCGACCATCAATTTGTTTGTTAATGGCAATATTTTTACTTTTAAATGCAAATTATTTTGATTAATGTATTGAATAATGTGAAAATGTAGTTGATTTTCTAACTTGGTAGCTAATTAATATGATTGATGCACACTGATGGTGATGAACGGAGGAGAACAACATTTTGATAATTAAATTTATTTTTTCAAACTATTGTAATGAACTATAATATGTAAAAATGAATGTAATCACAAACATTTGAAATAAAGTCATAGCAAATGTAATTGCACGTTTAGTTTTGGCTATTCTCTTTTTGTGAACACTTGAAACCTGAATTTTTCATCATTGAATGGAAAGAAATAGGAAGCAAATTCCTCTTCATATTCCGAAATGGACCATGCGTTATTGAATTTGAATCCGATGTACTTGTAAAGTGAAGCTAACATTTGTAATTTTAACAATTTCAAATCTAATTTTTTTTTGATCTGTGAAGATTCTGGTCTCTCCGGGTTGCTAGCTGGGCTGAATTTCGGATATTCTTCATCATTGGAAGGTTTTCCAGGACTGTATATCTCGATACCATCATCATTCTTCGAGACATCGAGAGTCGTTTCTTTGTAAATTTGGTTGATTTCCTTTTCCAAGCCATTAGTTATTTGAGATCCAACCTCGATGGTCTTGAGACGATCGTTATGCGCCATGAAATCGATAATGTATATAAAAATTTGTGATCGTTTAATGTGGTCGTGCTCTTCGCCATAAAAAATGTTGAATTTGAGTTTGGTCAAGGCTGGCATTGGAATTTTGGACAGCTTGTGCACATATTTGAGATCATTCAAATTGTTTATATTCCAAGTAAGCGATTCTAAACGTTCACAGCTCCAAATGTATTCTACGATGTCATCGTTGACTCCAAACCGGCAATCAATACTGAATGTTTCGATGGTTTTATTGCAATAAGCCGGAAACACCAAATTATGTAATGTTTTGGCGTCTTGGCAGGACAATTTCAAATGCTTTAAATTACTGAACTTCGGTGGTGGTGCGGTACTCGTCTTCGGGCCAGCTCGCTGCATGTAAACCAAATCGAGTGACTCCAGTAGTGGCAAAGCTTCAGCCATGTACGACAATAGTTCGACGGTAATTTGGATTCGATTTGTGGAATTGTTCAATGTACTTGCATCTTCAAAAATGTTATGGCTTAAACGCAATTCATTCAATTGTCGATTATTTTTCATGAAATACATGAGGTTTTTATTGCCGAAATTCGATTCATTATAATTTAACAGCGACAACTGCACCAAACTAGGGAATTTACGTTCGATGCAGGAGGTACTGGTGACACTTTGGATCATTTCCAAATTCAATTGATGCAGATTCGGGCACCATGCTTTAAATTTGGTCGCCGATGCACTCAAATGGCACATTGTGAATGTTGCCAGCCTTAGCTCGGGAAATATTCGATTGATCTGGAAATTGGCTAGCATTTGCGTAAAATGGACCGCAACGAGTGTTGAGTGGCATTTATTCATAATTAAGTCGTGGATAAACTTGTTTTCGCGATTTCTACATGAATCGTAATCGACGCGCAGTATTTTGATTTTATCGCCGAAGATTGTGAATGCATATACATACGATTTAAATTTGTCTCTATCGGACAGTGCACTCACACGAAACTGTTCCCCTTCAATTCGACTTTCAAACAAATTTGAACAAATGATAATGAACCGTGAACACGCTGCTGCCAGGTTGGCCAAATCATTCCATTCCAAATAGGTGCAGATTTTTAGCAAAAACTTGTTTGGCAAATAATTGAGTTTTTCAACTTTGATGCGTGGGTTTTGTCTGGAACTTTCTATGGACGGCACAGCCACAGACACTTTTTGTAGCCGCACCTTTTTCGGCTTTTTTGTCATCTTACGAGGCATTGTATGATATTGATGATATTGATTTCACGTAATAACTTTCCGATGGTTACTCTTAGTTTCAATAAATTTTTAAATAGAACGAAAAAAATACGATGGCACACACTATGCAAAGAATAAGCAAATAATTGAGACGAACAGTTTAATAGTTGACAGTTTGGTTCGCATTGACTTGTTCGATTTCAAACTATAAAACAAATAACCACTGTGTGTACCGCTGTCTCGTTCGAACTCATTCGATTAAATGTAAACAACGTTTCGTGTTACACGAACCAAAAATGTTGCATTCGTGTAAACGCGCCAAAAATCACCAAATTAAGACTGTGCTACAAGCATCAGTGGTGCAAACAAAAACATAACCACAACTTTCTAACACATCATTCCATAGAAACGTTGGAGTTTCTTCTGATCAAAGTTGTGCGTTATTAAGAATGACAGTTAATGCTTTCAATAAAGTGTTTGTTGTGCATCTTTACCATATTGAATGCTCGGCACACGGAACGTGATTGACTTATTTTAATATCCCGTAATATTTACCGCAAACGATTCAAAGCAAGCATGGGTGTTTATGGTTTGCAAAACTTTTTGAAAAGAGAACAAAGAGTCCATATCGTGAATATTATTGAAGAAATCAACAAATGGAAAAGGTAAGCTCGGCGACACTCTATACTCACATCTATTGCCCATTAAATGACATATTCATCACTTAATTTCAATGCGTTCCATTGGCTTTACAGCGAAAATCCCGAGCAAACACCCATAATTGTCATCGATTTTATGAGCCTTTCTCAGTGGGAATTGGCAAAAAAACCTAAAGACAATATTTGCGGTGGGCGAATCAATGTTACTGAACATCGATGGAGTAAAATGTTAAAAGCAATCCATGATACTGGATGTCATATGGTGTTTATTTCGGATGTGAAAAGCGAAGTAAGAAAATCGGCGACAAAAATAGGTCGCCGAAATGAACAGTTTGATTCTACTGTTAAATTATATGAAGAAATAAGTAATGGTTGTAAATTAGATAAGGTTGTCAGTCAAATAAAAACACCAAGAGGATTATCTTCGGAGCTCACAAAATTGGCAAGCATTGCAAAAGAGTTGGGCGAATTTCATTATGCGATTAATTTCGATTGCGATTTGGAGTGTGCAAAATATGCTACGCAGTATAATGCTATAGCTGTTGTGTCGCAAGACACGGACTTTCTCATATTTGAAGGCTCGTGGAAATTATGGTCGCCGGATGGCATTCCAATTTCTCAGACAACAAAATTTAAAATGAATGAATACGACAGAAATGCGATCAAAGAGATTTTATCGTTGGAAGAGCATCATTGGCCGATATTTGCTTCCCTTGCTGGGAATGATTTCACAAAAGAACCATTTTCCATAAGAAAACAACAAATTGAACAGGCAGCCAGATGGACACGCAAATTGAATAGTGTTCATCCTTCAGATGCCGAGTTCCGACGTGTCGTCGCTCAGTTTCGTCATGATGATGCTGCGAAAGCGATAGATCTCATCAAGGAAAGTATAAGATCATACGATTTGAATTTTTCACCCGTAATCGATGACGATCCACTTATTAAAGGGCTTTCGAAAACTAGCATGTTTCGAACGTACATGAGTTCGTTAGATCCTGTAAAAATGATCGGTTTAAACTATTACGATCTACGTGGTTGTGAGCAAGCCGAATATTTACCGATACTTCTGATTGACTGGACAAAACGTAGATTTGGCATTGTACACAAACATAAACAATCCGACGAAAATCAAATTGTTCTCACTTTTTTGGCGCAAAAGAAATTCAATGAAAAATTCGAAGAATACAAGGAAGAGCCTGAATATCCCGATTGTAAGTAGATGTTGATTGTAAGGAAAATGAAGGGAGTCATTATTGACGAACAATTCTTTCAGTTTCAGTGCCTCCTTTGATTGAACTGTATTTGCATGAAGGCAATAATGAGATTATTGCAACGAAGTGGAAACTTCTCGCATTTATTATGAAACTATCTGATGATGAAGTGACTGCAATCAAAAGGCTGGCAAAAGAATTTATTCTCATAAGCACAACAGTGTTCATTTTGGTGAAGGTAACACTGCACTTCTAAAATATACTTCCAATTTTGCTAATCCATTCATACAATTGTCTCATCGTTTGGGAGGTAGAGTCGATTAATCACTAAGAAACAAGCTGATGGAATACTATACACCGCGCATATGGTTCTTGCTGATAAAACAAATGATGTTACGTATCCAACCGTTCTGGTGGCTCAGCACGTTCGCGCAGCACATATTTATAACTCATGTTTTGCACATGTTAAAAGGAATATTTACATTGCCGGTCTATGTTCACACATCGAAGTATACATTACAATTATTTGCATATGATGTCGACAATAGACCAACTCGTATTCTTTGAATTTTCAGGGTAGTCTAGCATTTGATGGTGTCTACTTCCAGAAGCTAATGGAACAATTTGATGATATGGAGATGAAAAAGGAAAACGATGAATACGTTACATTCATCGCACCCATTCTAAAGTATCGCATATATGAAGAAATATAAATCGACATTCCTGTCTGTTAATCTTTTAAATAATGTTGGTACTTGTGTTGGTGTTCTTAATTTGTACATTAAATAGAATGTAGCCAATTTAATAATAAATTTATATCTCCAACTCGACTCACTATTTTGAAAACGGTTCCAGCTATTTTACTCTATACAATCAATGCTAATTATTATTTTGTTTTTATTAGTCAACAGAACTTGTATATCTATTGAAAATATCGAGAGGAGAGTATGTTTTTATTCAGACATTACTCAGCCATAAGCGCTGAATAACATACTCTCTTCTCGATATATTCAATAGATATGAAATGTCGAAATCATTTTGAAAATCTCAGAGTAGGGTTGATAACAGTGTTAGTTTCTTAAGATTTTTTCAAAAATAAATTGGATTGTGATGCACTATAGTGCATAGCCAGTAAATGTTAGCTGATGTCTTTTTTTTAAATACTGACTAGAACTTAAGTGACATGACATGACTGATTTATGTTGAAGATAAAGTTTTTTTGTCATCATCATCCAAAAGGAATCTTACCTTTCGATTCTATCGCAAATGGATTTCACATATTTTGCATAAAAAAGAAACTTCAAAAATTATTAATTTATGTAAATTTATTGATTTATTTTAAATTTTTACAACTCAATAATTCATTCAGTTGCATTGCGTTTGCAACGAAATTGTAATTTAGATTTTTTTTCCTCTTTTTAATTTAAATTAACTTCCTAGTATATTCGCGAGCTTCTATTTAAACATTTTTTTTTTTTCAATATTTTTCTTGTAACCATTTCGATTGATTCATTGAATTCTGTTCGATAATAATCATATTTGGAAAATTGTTTTGTTTTTTTATAACGATTTGTGTGTTCCTTTGTTTTAGCTAAGTTTCATAAATGTTGTTTGCTTGCTTTTGCTGATTCGATGGACTAGAGTCTCAATCAATTTTAATATTCCTTAGAATTTGTTGTTGGTGTGTATTTTCTGTGTGAATGTGTGTATGAATAAGTAGATGATTTTGATATCTCTTTTCATTGCTCTTTCCCTCTTTCGTTATAAGTAATTTCATTTCAGTTACTGTCAATTTCTTTCTCTTTATCTCGCTTGCCCTTGCTCGCATCGTACCTCAATTTGTGTTTTATTCACCATTTTTGTTTGTATTGTTGTTTCGTTTTGTATATAAATTAGTGGATTTTAGATTATTTAATTTGTTTTTTTTTTGTTGTTTTCTCTTTGTTATTATCTTTTTTTTTCTCATTCATTCAGTTATTAACTTTATATCACACATAAGCGCAAAAAATGAAATCTACAATGATTAAGATTTTAACAATTCGACCAGCGTTCTTTTCTGTCTGTCTTCGTGTGGTTCGGTCTTTTTTCTTCATCTCATTTCCATTTATTCATTTTTTACACTTTTCAGAGCGCGCTACAACCTCCGATATGATGCATGAACTGTAAATAACAGCGACAACTGTGTCTCGTACCAGCAGTATAAAACGGTCTTGTTAATTTACGTTTTTCATTTTTAATCAATGGCTTGAGTATCGTCTCGATTCGATTGAGCGTTGTCGTTGGCGCTGTCATTTGTCCATATGTTACTGTTCATTGGTTTTCGATGGAATTGTTGGCGGTGATGAACTGGTTGCTGGTGCATTTGGCTTAACATCGGATTTTGTTATGTCTGTTTCGGTTGCGTTTGGATTTGTTATTAGTAAATTTTTCATCTCATTTGTTATGTCCTGCGATTCCAACAACGATTTCAGTCGGCTTGAATTCGTTCCGTCATTTTTGTCGTCGATGATACCAAGTTTTTGGTAATAGTTATTCTAAATAAAAATGATTGAAAACAGAAAAACAAACCGTCAGTTGCTTTGAATATGATTGAATATGAATTCGCTTACCACATCAACATTTTCTTCGTCATCTGTGATATTGGTATCGTTGTCATCTTCTTGCCTAGGGTTAATCACAAAGAAAAGAGTGAAAATAATGGAAATTAATCAATATGTAATGGAACGTCACACAATTGCAACAACATTGCTTTAATTTGAGATTTGGTAGTAGTTTTAAGAATCGTGTTCTGTTGTGGAAGAACAGAACTACTACCAAATCTCAATTTTTGTCAGCAAAGTGTTTGCTAACGCAGCTTCGTTCAATTCATTTGCAAATTGTTTTTAATTTATGTGTGTATATGTGTGATCAAACCCTTATAGATATACTAAATAGATTTTGATATTGTGATTTTTTGAAATGGATGTAATGGATGTAATGGAAAAATAATCGAAAGAATGGATAGCATTCTTCAAAAATGGAATAGTAATTTTTAAAGTAAGTATACCCATCTTCTTGCTCATCATCTTCGTATGGAGAACGTCGATCGGTTTGACGAAATTCATCTAAAACCAACAAATGTTGAATTAACAAATGCTCGTGATAAAGCACTGAATATATATATCAAATTACCATTTTGCACTGTGTCCGAACTATTGAGATCTCTTTGTTGGTATTCACGTTTTAAAAGTGGATTGCTTTTCAGTCCTTGCTTTGCTTGGATCTTTTTCATACTCTCGCATGGATCTTCTTCACTTTCCGATGATTCATTTTCGCCATCAACTCGACCAGTGCCTGATGCTTCAAGCGGATCATCACCATGTATTTGGTCCAACATCTGTTGTGATTGCAATCGCACCAAAACGCCATCGGAAATCTCTTCATTTTCAGGTGCATCAAGCTGTAAAAAAATAGATTGTATTTTATTAGTTAAGTTTTAAATTGACAATGCGATTTTCAATGCCCACCTCACTCGGGCACAATTCAAATGCCAATGTCATAAGATTTTTAGCCGATTGTGATCGTTCAAGCATGTAACCGTTGGAATTGTCATTTGTGGCAACCGATGATATGGCCACCGATGAATGAGACCAGGAACTATAACTGTATTGATTGCTTGGCACTCGACGATCAAGCTCTTCTCGCAACCATTCACAAGCCATCACCCATTGTGTTGTCACTTTGAAATTATTCAGTAGCATCTCGTGTGCACATTGACATGTTTTAAATAGCTGCACCAAACATTTCATGATTTGATAGGCTCGTTTTTGATAGTGTGTTTTCGTTCGTTGAATTATTTCAAGTAAACCTTCACGCTCTTCGGCCACACCGAGCAATGCATTATGGATACGATGATTTTGCCATGAATCTTCCATCAACAATATATTCAATAGCATATCGGTGTGATGACGCAAGTCATGCCAATAGGTGAATCCACATTGCCACAACAATTCAACAAGAACATTTCGCGAAAATATCGGATTCTCCCAACAACAATATTGCAACAATTTTAATCCTTCTTCACCTACATGCACATCTTCAATGACCTTCTTGACATAACTGTGAAATAGAGAAAAGCAAATGTTTAACCAAATAGATTGTATCATACAGAAACGGAAACAATGCGATTAATCGCGGAAACTTACGATGTTTTCTGAAATAGATGCTGCATAGCCTCTTTCGAAAGTTTTGGTCGATCTTCTGGATTTATTTGCGGATCACCGTAGACATTTGGTAAAATTGGCGATTCATTTGGACTCGAACATTCCGATGTAATGTCACTGCATCTAACAAGCATTGATACAACATGATGCAATTTACATAATTCGGGATATTGATGTTTAATTGGTAGACCAGGTCCTTCGTCTAATGCAACTTGCATAAATATTGCCGGAACATTCAACTAAAATGGACACAGGTAATTTGATTTTTATGAAATGCATACGTTTTTCTTTCATTCAACTCAACGATATATGGAACATTGCATTACCTTAAGCAATTGTAGCCTTTGCTGTGTATTCATGCCGGCATACATACTATACATATTGAAATATTGTGTTAAATGCTTTCCATTATCTGGTACGTCCGTTTTTAATAAATACAATACATGCATCAATATTTGTTCACACAATGAATCGGCCGTTGGTTGAATATTTTGCAATGGTTCGTCGCCCATAGCAAAATGACATAAAAATACGATCAATTTAACAAACATGCTGCGTAACTCTGGTGTTGGTGCAACCAAAACATATTCAGCCAATCTGCCGGGTATACTGATCAATGCATTTTCGCAGAACCAACGTCGCACCATTGTTGATTGGCGGAAGTGAAGCGATAATGTTTCATACCTACATACATAACACAAAAGAAATTTCATTAGATTTGCCATCAAAATCAATGAGTCTATGTTCATTTACCAATCGTTTGATGCTCCGCGCAATGTTTTCTTCGTATGGAATCCGGTATGGAATAAGAAACGAGATGCTAATTGAATGCCCAACAATGATAACTCTTCCAATTGTGGCGTCTGAATGAACAAAAAGAATGACATTCAAAATCAAGTGAATGTAGAGAGACGACTTGAAAAAGCAAAAATATTTACCATTTTTTCGACGCGCGTTGGTGCCGATGAATGTACCATTTTACGTATGAAATTGAAAAATTCGGATGTAAAAATGTCGCGTGAATGTAAAAATCGGATATTTTGTATTCGAACGCTGCGCTCAATTGGTTCTGGCATTGGTAATATACAATGACGACTTTCGGCCAATGACAATTGCTCTTTCAGTGATTTTTTATGCATGAATTTTTGATCACAGCGTGTGTAAAAAAGCATATACGCATTCCACCATCGTTTCTGTCGACGAAACTGCATTCGTTTCAAATTACTGTCAAACACTTCGCCCATGTAATCACCGCCAAAACATTGTGCTTTCAACTCTTCGTCTTCGTGCATTTTGCATTCGGTCACCTCACCATCGTCGAATTTATACCATTGGTCTTTACCCGTCTCGTAGTCCCTACGAACAAAACAACAATATATCATTTTAAAAGTGAACTCATTCAAGTTGCACATAATTTTAACTCACTTGTGAAGAATATAGCTAAAGTAATGACCACCAGATGCTTGTCCACTGTGCACAACAATTCCGGTCAATTGATACTTGGTCGGACTTTGTGAATCATCTAATTCATCTTCGTATTCGATTACTTCACCTTCGATTTTGGCCAAACCCGAAACTATTCAAAGAAAATAACATAAATCATTTATTTAAATGCAATAAATTCAAGCAGAATTCCCATTTATTCTTACCTGTGTATGGTTCCATGTCTAATTCCCGTGGAAACTCAAAGTAATCATTGAATTTAATAGCACAATCACGTTCGTAGTCATATTCGAATCGTTTCAATTGGATTGCCAAAACCGGGGGCAGCTTTCTAACACACAATCGCTTGATTGTGACCACCTGAGTCAAAAGTCAAGGACAATTTAGTCATTGAAAGTTTTTGATTTAGCCGAATACAAAGTGTGGAACATACCTTTTTATTACATTTATCACAATGATAGGCATCGGCGCCTTCAAGTAACTCTCCTTTGACATATTGTTCGAGCGATTCTGTGAGTGAACTATGATTTCGGATGTCGACGCTAAACACACTGAATGGTTCTTCTTTTGAATAACGATGTGGACATTCTTTGCAAATTTTTTGATCACTAAAACAACCACCAAGTGTCGATGCCATCAATTGTGGATGGCCCAGGGCCTTTAGACCTTCATCTAAACTATCCAAAATCGACATAAAAAATTCAACGGCGTCTTGTTGTTCTCGCAGATTCACCGGTTCCCCTTGAAGTCTGAAACACAAAAGAAACAATTTCAATTTTGAACCCAAGAGGCGATAATATCTATAGATATGCAACTTTGAATGAACTTACTTAAATTGACTCCATAGGCCGCGTGGAACATAAAACTGTAGTGCACTGTGTCCCAAATGAGCGAATATTGCTTGGACATGCTTTAAAATCGACACATTGTAGCGTTCACGAATGCTCAAGTTACTGAATTCCGTATCGTTTTCAATTCGATAATAATCGGATGTGGTCTGAAAAATAGAAAGGAAAATGAAGAAATTCTTGATAATTCGCAACAAAAAAAAAAAAAAAAAAAAAAACAATTATTTCGAGTCATACCTCAGCTTCATTGCTGAAATCTTCGTGTGGATCGTTGCATGCCCCGGTTGCGCTTAGAATACCAACGCGAATCGATGGCACCATAAACAATTGCTGCAACACCGAATTCATGTAGCATGTGGCGCCAGCATTTTTCAAACCGCAAAAACCTTTGAATGGTCGTGCATTAATTGGTGGCAAATATTCCCATTCGCGTAACGGTTCCGAATGTGTGCAAATCATATTTACTAAATTATTAACGATTAATTTCATATTTGGTATTGAATTTTGGCATAATGCAATCAACAAATCACATGCAGCTGTTATGGTGTGTGGGCTACGACAGACGGGCGGTGCTGCATCAAAATTGATCAACTGATCGCTTTGATAAAGTTGCAAATATTGTCGTGATGCTGGAAACAGAAACTCATCTAAGATTTCAATGATGAATTCGGTGAGCTGGGACTTTAAATCAGCATTAAAGTAGAACATAAGCTCTTTTGTTAAACATAAATGCCCTTCGAGGAGATCTTCGTGCACGCTCGTTTCACCGCATTTTTTCACGTTCTCCAAAATGGCGCGTAGCCATGAAATTTCCTGCGTCAATAGGACATCGTTGATTGGAAATGGCCAATTGTATAGGCATCCATAGTTCAGTGTTCGACACAATAATTGGAAGAATTCAGCACATGTGCTTGAATTGTGTGGTGCTAAATTCTCCAATGCATCAATCAATAGTGCGATAACAAATGAAAATGGTCGCCAATCGGTTGCACAATACGTACAAATCAAGTACAATTGTTCGGTTGCACTTTGTCGAATTTGACGCATTGGATTTTCCAGCACTAATGCCAAAATGAATTTCGGCCACATTGGATCTTTGCTAAGCGATTCACTGGCCCCCGGATTTAAAACCAACGATATGGTTAACACTTCAAGAGCTTCTTTGCACAAATTATGATCGGCTTGTTCTGGTGTCGGCTTTGAATCGCTGAAACTATTACTGGAGTCCAACATATCGAGATGACCAACACCACTGGCCCATGCCAATTGAACAATTGCCTTAATCGTTTGCACATCTGGACACGACCATTTCAATGCACTTGCAAATAGTTTTCGGCATGTCACACCTTCCGGTTCATATGATAACATTTCATTCGATAGACTATCTGCCAATTTCATTGCAATCACACGAATTGTTTGCTCCGTTTGACCCAAAATATTTGTAAACGTTGACTTTAGCAGATCGATTTGGGAACGACCCGTTTCGCTAATCGATGATGCTGGTTCGTCACCGACTTTGCTTAGTACACAGCCAACCACAAACAAAAAGATCTTTGACAATCGCAATACATTCGTGAAGGCAGCACGTTTTGTATGTACATCGGAGTTTGGTATGAAATTATTTTTGGTCAATAGCTCCAGTATGAAATGAGCAACACCTGAATGAATCCATGACATTTGAAACGATTGATTTTGCTCGATGGCCGGTATGAGCAGCGCATACAACACTTCCAAATTGTAAATCACTTGCGCAAATGGTGGATGAAGAAACATCATTTCGGGCGTAACGGTCACCAAATTATCGTACGTTGCCAATGGATTACACATTTGTTGTAATTTCTGTGATGTTAGTCGATCGATTGGTAACAAATGCAATAGACTACGGCAGCCTTCGCGCAACAGTGCATGATTCAAATCAATTCCCAATTGATACAATCGCAAAAAGAATTCGGTGTAGTGTGGCTTTTGTGCGATTATGATGCCAGGAAGTTGTCGTTCATTTTCTGGTTTCATCATGTCGGGGCATGGACGAGGTGGCGAACCTGATAAAAAGTCGAATCGTTATTAGGTTTTTGTTTGATTCACAATTGAAATGATAAAATGAAAATTACCTGTACTGCTATCGCTAGAGCTGTCTGGGCTACTCGATAGGCCTGGACTGTACGGTGATAATTTGGCAGTTATCAACATTTTATCACGAATATTATAATAGCTTATTGCATTTTGATCATCATTAATTTCGATTAAGTTGTCATTTGGATAGTAAAAGTCGATTTTGATATTGTTCGATGTGCTTTTGATGCGTTTGAGCAATTGTCGCTTGAATGAGGAAACCATTTCGTTGCTATGCGTGTTCACTTCAATATCTTCGGTTTGTTGTCGTCCCGGAAATTGAATTCGAACATATAATGTAACATGTTTGCCGCGATAAGCTCGACTCAATGGCAAACAGATACGTTCGCCCGTATATGCACGATCACACTCAACAATATATTCCAAAAGCATAATGATAACACGGCACATTTTCTCCGCTTCAACATGACGCATTTTATTATCTTTGTTTTCGTCACTGTTCTCCTGTAAATTGTCACCTTGCATGGTTTCCGTTAGTACCATAATATTGTCGTGGTACGCCTTGAGCCGATCACAGCACTCTCGAATGAAATTCTCATGAAATGTTGCAATATTTGCTTGAAGTCTTGGTCCAAGTGCGGTCGATACTTCTTTCAGCAATTGAATTGCTTTGTGTGAAATAATCTCGTTGCCGGTGGTAATGACACGCCATAAATAATCTTTGCCGATGAGATCTTCGTCATCAAGTATGTAACTACGTGATTTTGCCTTTAGTTTCTCCTCTTTTGAATTGACCGCCTTGAAGAAGCGTTCAAAGCATCTAATGCCACTTTCGGTTAGCAATTGTGGATCCAATTGTAGTATGTTATTTTCGAAAAAGTCTTTATTGATACCGGGATCGAGATCCGGTTCTTCGCCCATCAATTTGCCAAACCATCGAAAGCACTCTTCGCGATCCGTTGGAAAGGCAGCATTCACAGCCAAACACTGCCAAATTTGTTTTGCTTGATCCGAACACAGCCACAGTTGACCATCTTTTAAGACGAATTTCAAAAAATCTAAACGCTCTTGAATCTGTTGCTGATGCGGATAACGATGATCGAGCAACAGTGTTTCAGGCACGGTATCTGGTTTCTCTTTAACAATCGCACGGACGCGATCCATGTATGCGGTAAGGCTATTTGTTACCAAAATGACTAGCGTATGCTCATTCTGTAGCCGCTCAATCACATGCTGACGATTAAAACTCTGATGCATTCGTTGCACATGACTAGTGGATGGATCGTACAGGCAACATATTTCACGGATTAAACGTAATGCTGGCAACACCCATCCATTATCCTGTTTCAATTCTTCCACACATTTTGATAGCCATATGGTTTTCTGAGCATCACGCTCTTGCGCACAACTATAATCCAAAATTTTCACATGTGCCGTTAATGCTTGTTCCATTACTTCTTTTGGTATTTCCAAACTATGGGCCAATGTCCAGAATAGTTTTAACACTTTGTGTGCCATCACGCCACTTTTATCGTCTTCGGCTAAACGACGAATTAACTCCAATAAACGTTCACGTTGATGCTTATTGGCCGACTTCATGCTGGCCTGTATATATGAATAAAACAGAGAAAACATTAAAATTCACTCGAAACAAAAAATTGAGTAAAAAAATGATGGACGAGAGTAAAGCTCACCTGAAAGCATCCAAATAAATGATCCAATTGCTCGGTATTAAAATCATAGGCTAATTTTGCAAGCAAATCATGAACATTCTTAACGATTGCTTCATGTTTACCAGCTTGTGCTTGCCATACGGCATCTAAATCACTGAGCGTTAACGCCTTTTCTTTGATTAAAAATCGTAAAATTTTCTCCAATTTATCCACATACTGTGGTTGATGCAGTGAATCATGCAACACGATGCCCAATACATTACTGTCTTTTATCCATTTTGCAATTTTTTCCGCACTCAACCAATCGATTTCCTCTTCTGGGGCGCACATCGGAATTTGCGATTGTCGCGGATAGTAGGAAAAGGCGAATAAAATCTTATTGATTTCATTTAATGCACTCATTTTACCATTAAAACTGGATATTTTCAATAAACGTAAAATCATTTTCAGTCGAAACATTTCCAATTCTTTGATAAGATTCTCTTGATTTGATAAACGACTAGTTAAACATCGTGCCGATTTTATAATTCCATTGATCAAATCATTTCGACCTTCTGGTTTTGCTTCACGTTTTAGCTCTTCATCCGATAAATTGTTTAACAATTCCAATACAATTTCCCACATGGGTAAAAAGTACTTTTCAATGGTGCGCACCGTAAGTAGCTCATAACATTGGCCAAATGGTCGAACCAATGCATAAATTAAATGCAATGTTATGTTGCTGTTATTTTCATTGGTTTTTATTTGGGCGGTTGGCGTTGTATTGGTTGTGGTTGCTGTTATTGGTCGTACCGTTGTCACTCCATTTGATGTTACAGTTTTTGCATCTTTGGCATCGATTGGTTGTTCGCTCGATTTCTTTTGCACCGAAGCAACACCAGCATAAAAACGATCCAGCAAATTATCAAAACCACCATATTGACCAAATCTGTCAAAAATTTATTAAAAATTTAAAAAAAATTATAATAATTTGTGATTTTGAATTGAAACTCACCGATTGATGAGATCGACAAGCCAACCGCGTGGATGATGTGGTTCTGGTGGTGATTTAGCAAATAATTGATCTTCCGATAAAATGCATACTTCCCATGCATTTGTACCGGCGTTATTTTGTGACTGATTTCTAGATGGAGTGGATGCATTTTCGTTGCTTTGTAGTTGAACCGGCGATTGTCGCGGTTGTGTGACATTAGTTGAATTCAACGTTGTATTGACCGGAGATGTATTTGGTTTATTTAAAACCGTTGGTGTACTTGAATTGGTTTCCACAACGTCCATAATGGGGAAATCAATTTCCACAACATTTTGAGTTTGAGAAACTAAAGAAAAATGGAAAATCAGAGAATAATTTTTAGATTTCATGTGGTAATATTTAAAAATTGTGTTGCTCGTTTACCTAATGGAGTCGATGGCGATGTTGTGGCAGTAGATGGTGTTGCTGTTGTTGAGCCAGTATTCACCGCTGTGCTGGTTGGTGTTGTTGTTGTGATAGCCGGCGATTGTTGACCGATTGAATTGTCACTTTTCACATTGGCTGCCGTTAGGCTGCCAAATGATGAATTGGTCGCTTGCCGTGATATATTAAATGTATTGAATTTATTATCGGGATCCAAAACAACACTCAACAATTCCAATAAATATGTATTATCACGTTTTAAATGCAATGCACACAATTGCATAAACTTCACACACGAATTGAATATACAGTAGTGTATATTGTATTTCCATGAATTGACCGCTTCATCCGTTAGAATTTTCATAAATGAAACCGTCAAACCTTCGCGATAAAAGCGCATGCATGACTCACATTCCTCGTCAATACCTGTGCGAATGGGAAGAAGAAGAAGAAAAAAAAAATGGGTGCATAGCGCGTGAATCTCAATTAGCTTGGCGATTCAATGTGATGTAATGTGCTTTAACTCACCAGCCTTCGTTAATTCAATCGCATAATTTAATAGGCATTCCAATTCTTGATCAGGTAACACTGGTACTACCCATCGTGGACTCGATATTTTAGCTATAAGCGATCGGAGTTTTATCTCCGGAAAATGTTCAATCAATTGTTCAGACGTTCTAAATGGAAATAAACACAGAATTATTCGAAACCATTTGAAAGATAGTAGGCACCGAAAAAAAATCATTTAAAAAAAAGAAGTGTAATCATAAAATAAACATCCATTTTATTTTGTCAATTTTCCCCGGCATTTAATCGCATGCAATAGCATTAAAGACATTCTTATCAGGAAAAATACCAAGGTATTCTGTTATCTGCATCGCGTCACCGTTGCGAAAATATGACATTTCTCAATGCACACAATGTATTTAGCGCATGTAGATTTTTTTTTCTTTTTTTTTTAAACAATAAAAAGAAATTGGTATGACTTACGGTTGATTTGATTCATTATTCCGTGAATTGAGCATTGTGTTTTCGTGTCGTTGATCCGATATATCATCCGATTCAACTGCATGGCCTCTGCTATCGTATGTCATAATTTGCTAATACGTTCAAAATCTATTTTGTTTATTTGTTGTTGTAGTTGCACCGCTCTCCGTTCTACACTCTGTGTGTTTCAGCCTTTAACAGGTAATTCCACTGCTGAAACTGTTCGGCCTGTGGTATACCACAAGCTCGTGTTGCTTTTTTTCGTTGCGTCTAGTATACACTCAGTTTAGCCGGTGTAAGCAATGAACTCGTTCAAAGGCTACGGTCACAAATATTATTTTATGATTTTAAATGTTCACCGACCGATTATTATCTGTCTTAAGCTACGTATATTTTATGTGAGTCAGCTGATTGATGTGTGTGCATCGCCCATACCATATAATCAACTGACATTTCATGACGATATGATGTACTTTTTTTCTTTCGTCAATGGCTCAACCGAGAATTCATTGTGATATACATCGTTATTTGAATCACATTTTATCGGCATATACAGAAATTATTGTTATTATTTATTAACAATGGACGATGGACTATTACTTCCGACTGTCTAATATGAATAATGGAATACGACTAAAATGTACATACGTATTTATCCATTCATACAACGTATACGAACGAAGAATATGAAACAATCTACGCAAAGATATCGCACATAATACATACGGAAATTCACTTAGAAAGAAAGAAAAAAACAAATGGCCATTAAAAATGTGATGGGCCAATTTATGAAGAAATAATAAATAAACTCAGAAAAATGTTACTGTCGAAGTTAATAGAACCTATTCACGCACTTCAAGCACAAAAAAATGACACATCGAAATCCATTTGGCTTTCAAATAGAGCCAACAACAGTGACAGAATAGCTATAAAAAAACCTTCTCGAAGTGAAGACCTATACCATTAAAGGTGGCACACAGCTTTATATACACAGTCACCGAGTGCGCAGTTTTGTTTACAGAATAGACTCAAAGATGTTGTTGTGTACATATATATTCGCGATATATTCTCTACATGACATCAACGCTGGTGAATGTATGCGTTCGCGAATACGAGATTATTTCGTTGCCGTGTTGAGTGTTCGCATCGACGGTGCGTGCGTATATGTGTGTGGTGTATTTGTTGGATGTTCGAAAAACCGACAACAAAACCGAAAATATGGCAAATTCTCAAATATATGTAGAGACGTACTCGACTTAAGAAGCAAAATGAAAACAAATCGATGCACTGGTATTGGTCTCTTTTTTTCAGTTTCTTCGTGTGATTCACATACACGTAAATCGGCTGTAGCACAAAGTGTCAGAAAGAGTTGGACTTCTTACGGGCAGGAGAAGAAGAGAAAAAAAAGAGTATTTTTTTTGCGATGAGAGATGTAAGTGAACTGTTTCTTTGTTTCGTGCAATTCGCAATCACTTGATGGCGAATTAGCGAATTTCGAATGATATACATTTCGGTTTTCCACAACAACTCTCAAATGCAATTCAATGTGTATGCGCTAATGGTATATATATGATTGTTGTTTTTTTTTTGGACAAATGCAGCGTCGACGAAACAGCAGGCGCCTATGATCTCAACTCTTAGTTTTTCTTTTTCATTCTTTTTCGTTGAAATTTTCTTTCGTATTTCACCTGCGGCTATTTCATGTCATCGCCACCATCAAGATTCATGTTGATGTCGTGTGTTTTTTAATGCAATTAATTTCACGATGACAATGATAATGACCAACCCAACCTCAAGGGGGAAAGGTGAACAAAACTACGCAAAAATGACCGAATTATTTGATGTGACATTTTACCATCGAATGCATTTTCGAAGCTCGCACGACACCAAAGTGCACATTCGGTACCATGTTTGTATGAAATCATCTACAAATTTAATGGCAACAAGAAAACGTCATACGCACTCTTTCTTTCTGTGTCTCTCTTACACTTTGAACAGAAGCGGAAAAAACTCACACACAGATTTTAATACATATGAATTTTGGACTTGGCTGAACAAACGAAAACACGAATGTGTATAATTATTATTATAAATACATTTTTTTCGTGTTGTTTCGCTTCACTGTACAGGGATCGCACAATATCTGCTTCTATATTCATTGTATTTATTTTTTTCATCGAAGAAAATGATGACATTTCGATTTTAAATGCGCAAATTTTTTTGCTGTGACATAAGCTCCAAACAGCGTATACATTTTGAAATTTCAAACAAAAACATTTTTACTAATGCCAGCTTATCGATGTTGTTGTTGTTTTTATTTTTTTGCCCATTAAAATTACTGTACATACACTGTGATTATCAATATACATATATTTTTGTTGTTTGTTCGGCTTGCATCTTATGACATTTACAATCGTACTGAGTTAGTTGATTTATGTTTGGCTTTGACTCATATTTCGTACACCTCACTCACGTGAAGTGTAAATTGAAAAACATTTTCTGCCAATTAAATCTAATCAGCATGATGCTGGATCCCATTTATTTCAAGTGCAAGATCACTCAATTGCACACTGCGGAGTAAGAAAGAAACACGACTGCGAGAAGAGAGCGAATGAAATTAAAGCGAACATTCAATGTTACTAGAGCATTGAAAAGTGAATTGTCTGTCGCCAGCGCTCAAATAACAAATGGATTTTTTTTTATGGCAAGATAAAAATCAGATGAAATAAGAAAATAGCAAAACAAAAATCACGAAGCAATCGGCCGGTTTTACAAGATGGCGTCGTGCAACATTTTTTTGCTCTCTATCTTCTATTTGTTTTATCCATTTGTCGATATTGAATTTGCGAATAAATTTTGTACACAGAAATTGACATGACAGTTGAAAAACTTCAATTAATGTGACGAATTTCAATGAAAATTCGGCAAAATTTCTGCAATTTTGACAACCAAATGAGAAGGGGTCGTCTTTTTTTCTGTTCGTTGAGTCTCTTAACACACATGAAATCACACTTGACATTTTGCACGTCATAAAAAAAGTTATTTAGTTCTTCAATGCCAATCAGAAAATGTTGTTTAATAAATTGAATCATTTGGATTATGTCGAGATGTGAATCACATCTCATATGCGGTAATGTTGAATTCTATGTTGTATTACATTGAATGCAATTAGAAAGTTGTGTATGTGTATGAGCGATTCCGATAGTGCACACGCTCAATCAAATGTTTCACACGCAAAACTCACCTAATTCCACTAGAACAAATCACAACAACTGTTTGTTTCACTTATAACTGAGAAAGGAAAAAACACACCCAACTTCTCTTACGTGGATGGATTGGTGCTTTTTTTTCGCCAACAAATCCACTGTAATTTTGAACTGAACACTTTACATTCGATGACAGTCCATTGTAATGGATTTTCTTATTGTGTTTTGTGTTTGCAATTCGAATTGAATCCAATAGCAAAACACTATGATTTTTTTATCTTTGATTTTCAATCGAATTGCTTCAATGTTTCACTTAATGTTAATGTTCTTTTTTTTTGTTTAGAAAAAAGGAAAATTATTTAGTTGAATTCGATACTGTTGATGTATTTTAAATGCGGATGATGATTTTATTTCTCTTCCATTTGCTTATAAAAAAAAATTCCGTCTTTTTCACCGACGTTCAGTGTATACAAGTAAAATAAGAGCGAACAAAAAATTGTTCGCTGAACACTGGAACAGATTGAATTAAAACGACTAAACACTTGAAAATAAAAGAGAATTGTTTAATATTTGCTAGATATTTATTTTTGTTGTTGCTGTGTGTAAACGAATTTCCTAAATTGTGTTAATTGTGTGTTGCTGAGTTTGTGTTACATCTAATGTTACTTAAAAAAATATCGACGACGACGACGGAAAAATTCGTCTTCTTTATTTCAGTGTGTGTCGCTATTATACATCGTTATTGCCTGTACATGCACGCAATCATCAATGTATTCGGTTAAAGTCTCATCACCAATCCTTAATATTGGCAAATATATATTACGACCGATAACTATACATTCTAATAGGTAACACACAAACGCACAAACACACTCGCACATAACATGTAGGTGAAGCACCAGAAACCGTCACATATCAAAATCCTTTCCAAACTTTACACACTTTGAAGTACCATTCTCATAGCAAAATCAACGTTTACTATGTGTGTGCATGTGTGTTGGTACTTCGCTTGCTTCGTTCGCTCAATTCGCCGTACTTTCGAATTCGCTAACGTTTCGGGCTTCGGTTTTGCCCAAAAGGCACGTCAATCGCGCGCAAATCGAATTTTTTTCCTATCAACATTAAAGTAAAGCGTGATAATTTTGTGGTGTCACTTATTCGTTAATAATATATTTCTTTTTAGGTCAAATTTGCTGTTCATTCATATAAATTGCTCTGATGTTTGAAACACAAATAAAACCAATTCTCTAATTGGACACTAAGTTTTATGCCAATTTTTTTATCAAATTAGAAAAATGATTGTTAAACTAATAACCAGCTTAGCATGGTGACATTTAATCTAATGGAGCACGCGACATCGAAAAAAAATTGGTTGTATATCGATTGGTTTAATTAGCATTCGTGCAAGTTTTGTAAATAAATCGCAAAATTGGCAGCACTTGGCCATGCATTACATACGTCATGTGTGGTGTATGCGAGCATTCACATCGATGTCTTGATTGAACGAATTTGAGTTGCACCGTTCACATAATTTGCCTATGATTCGCCTCTCACTCGTTTCCACCGTGTACCGTTTACACACACCCGTTCGATTCATTTTCTTATTATTATCAGCGTATGCTGTTGCTGGCAGGTGTGTTGCCGCTATTGCTTACCTTCTGCATGGCACACTTCTTCGGTTCAAATCAAACCGTGTGCCAGTCTTAGCGAGATGGTCAATGAGTGAACAACAGTTTTAGTGATTGTTTCCACAGCAAAAGAATATCGGAGGTAAGAGCCAAATGAATGATTGAAAGAGAGCTAATATTTCTGTTGTGAGTCTTCGAACGATGATAAAAGAAGTGAAGTTTTTCTTTCGTTAAACCGTTTACACGGTGCAGTGGATTTGAAAATGTGTATAAACGAAGGAAAGAGTTGTAACAAACAAAATATAAATTCGAAATCAGAGCAAAATAATAAAACAAAACAAAAAATTGTGCATTTTACACACAACTGTGAAATTAAACGAAACCAAAAACAAATGCAAGCCTAACGAAGTGACGGCGAACTTCTTATTTGAGTGACGATTTTATACACTACTCTATTACAGGTTTCTTTTCCAAATCGATAGAGAGTGTAATAGTAATTATTTATCAGAAATTACTTTATGACACACCAAGAGCCTTGGCTCAAAACAAATCGACCACATGTCATAGAAGAAAAAGTATCTTTTTTAGAAATCCTTGTACGATTAATGATGATGACAGAACGGCGCTTTGCAACACACATAAATGAACGCAATTTTACTAAAGGGAATTATTTATTTAAATCGTACTGAAAATTTCGTTGATTTGCATATCGTAAACAAAAAGCAGCTTGAATTATTTAACCGATTAAAATCATTGCAGTTGAGATAAAATGTCACGTTGGATTCGGTCAAATGACCTCTAAACAATAAATAAGCATATATTGACAAATTTTCATTAATTTGCAACTTTTTTCAATACTGCATTGATGATAAAAACTTTTAAAAATCAGTATTTTTACGACTTAGTTTTTCATTGGAAATTAAGGTACCACTCTTAATTTATATGCATCCCATATGGGTTCGAAACAGTAATCTTCGCTTGTGGTATGTTTATTGATACCAAAAGCATGGCATGAGTAAATTGGTAGTGATCTGGAAATAAGGTCTCGTGATCCAACTAATAGTATGCATCGATGTAAATGAGGATGATTTTATGATCTATATCGTGCACACGCTTCATGCTCAAAATAATGTTTCCAGCGATGTTTTTTTTTTATATAAGTGCATTACTCCATAGACGATGATTCGTGATAGATTGTAACCAGATAAACAACGCACGAACAGCTGAAATGAAGAAATACGCACAACGGTCAGACACAACGGTTCCTAGGCATATGCGTAATTAAAAAGCGAAATTTAGTAGTCGTTGTTTTGTCTGTTCATTATGACCACTTTCAGCACGACTATTCTGCATTTCAGTAGTTTTATTGAGAGAAACATTTAACAATTAAATATACAATGTATACCGTTTCGTCCGTTGAAAATCTGAGAAAAAGTGATTATATTTTATTTAAAGTGAAGAATAACCGAAAGTAAACAAAATCTGGACAATCAACTCTCGAAGTGATGAAGAGGTAAAAAAAAATGACAGAGAAGATAATATAAGGGAAAGAACAATATTTTCCAATGAGAAAGAAAGAAAAAATGTGGAAAATAGTGAATTAATTAAAAGTCAACAATATAATACCAAGACGGTGTATGCGTCAAGTAAAAATAAATATTCACCGTTCGTTGGCATGATCAACATCAACGCGTAGCTCCGGCTCAAATATTTGAAGAAATGACAAAAATTCAATATACAAAATCAACACATAGACGTATGCGAACACAAGTCTCGCGCACCGCATACAGAAAAAAAGAAAGATTTCAACGCGACCAACGACGACTAGTCAGGCAGGCTAGTTCGAGATTTAATAAAAATACATTATAAAAAAAATAACAATGATTGGAAAAAGAGGCAAAAAAGAGAGCCGTTTAGGCAGTCAAGTATGACTAAATTTGAATTTTAATTCACATTAGCACTTTGGCAGGAAATATCTGTGTGCATTATAATCGACAATGTGGCCAGGCAAGCAGCCAGCTAGCAAAGGCAAGCAGCAACGCCAATCGTAACAACAAAACCATTCACAGAAACAGAGAAACAAAGCTATTGGGTTTTTTTTTCATATGTATATCATTTGACCTAGATTTTACCGTTTAAACACTTTTATTCGTTTCTTCTCTTTTTTCTACGCTCTTTTCTGTTCATTCATACATAAATATTTGTTCATCTTGATTCCGTGTGTATATATACACACTTTGATCGAGCGCACACTTCAGAAAGTTTTATCAATTTCACATTCTGTTATATTTATTGATTTGAATGTTGTTTCGTTTTTCGAAGTCCGTGTACATTGAAATCGTTTTTTCTCTCTCTTATATTCATGCCATTTCTCTTTCCGTGTTTATATTTAAAGAATTTTGGGCCGCACCTTATACACCAGTAACGAAGAAGTTTCTGAAAACTTTCAATTTGCTCGAATTTTCGATGGTGCGCTTTTTTTGCTTCTTTTTGCGCTGATCTTCGTTAATTATTATGATTGGTTGCCGTTGATCATCGATCGTGTAATTCTTTCACTTGTACTTTTTCCGTCCAGTGGCCACACTTGTGTTATTCGGTTTTCTTTTGCATGTTTATTGTCTCACATTAATCGATTTCTCAATTTCATTCCATTGACCATCGTCGATCCGATGAGAATCACGAAGAAAAACCATGAACAACAACGAAAAACAATTAAATGCAATTGAAAAAAGTTCAACTTCGCTTTTTATTGCCAGTATTCACACACATTTTTCTAAAAAATGCATTCTCAACACGATCACATTAATGAAGATCAAAAACAAAGAAAAAAACAAACACCCAGGTAAAGTGGAAAAAAAGAAACTTAAGAGTACGGTGTTGATTCACAGTAATTTCCGTGCTTTAATGATCTCATCAGCATTTTTTTCTGCATTTGAAATAAGTGAAATTATGAAATTCAACGCGATCATAAAAAATATATGTATTATGAATCAGAAGAGAAACGAATTTTATCATTGATATCGGCAAAAAATCAGTCGGCATTTGTCTGATTGGATTTTTTTCTTCTTAAAAAGGTCATCGACGACAATGAGACATTGGCAATTGAAAGTGAAGCCTAAAACAATTAACCAGGCCAATTGTAAATATCGTTTTTGTTTGGCATTTAGTTATTGAAGTGAGCGACAAAAAACGTTGATTGAATGATTACGATAATAATTAAGTTATGTGATTGGGATGGCCTAATAAAAGGTTTCAATTAGCAGTGCACAGCATGAAATCGATGTTAAGTGGAATTCGAAGCGTAAATTGATGATTATGATGATATGCGCATGGGGTGCGCAATTGTTGATCGAATTGTGCACAAAGGTCGCATTGTTAAAATGTCGGAACCTCTTAGCGAGTTCATTTCACAAAAAAATGAAAACGGTGAAACAAATCGTGAAAAATAACGCACATTTCAATTTCTTTCAAGGTCTTTTCGTTCAAACATAAATCATGCCGAGTGTGTATGATTGATCAATGCACAATGGTGTATAGTTCACATGGCAATCACCTGAGGAAACAGTTTTTTTTTCTCACTCTTCTCTTGAACTGATTCAATTCGGGCAAATGAACTGCACTCATATGCGCGATGAAATAAATTGAATTGTTTGAAAGCGAATTGAAATTTATGAATTAATAAACCAACATGAGTTGGCATGCCACAGTTATTTATTATTCATCTCATGGATGACGGCCTTGCCGTACCTTGATTTACGGATGCATTTTTCTCGGGTTTTTGAGTGTTACCCATTTGTTTTCATCAATGTTTGCATTGATTTCGGAAAGATGCTGAACAATTATTCGTTTAAATCTAAGTCAAATGCATAAAATATGACCTTCAGCATCTTTTATGTTGGCATTAGTGCGATGAGAAATATAATATCTTTGATATTTCTTAATTAACAAATTAATTCATGTAACGAGCAAAAAAGACATTCAAAAGCATAGCTGAAGCGACAGACAGTGCGTATTTCACAATTGGTGATGATGTGATGTCGATCGAAATCGAATCAAATTCGTTTAAAACGTTCGAAACATTTATCGAAACGATTTTGGTTTGAACTCGATTTTTTTGCAGGGTTCCCGAGTTTGCGGCGTGAATTTTTATCTAATATCTGCGCTTTCAACAATTTTATGTCGCAATCGAATTGGTCAAAAACTTATTCGAACATAATTTTTTCATTCAAAACCGAAATGATGAATAATACCGTTGGATGCCATAGACACGAAACCGTAGCCAATATGTACATCACGGCGTAACATGAATATTTCATGTACGTAATTTGAAACCCATTTGCAGTCACACCTATTTAGCATAAACATTGTCAACAATTCGTGCCGAAGAAAGATATGTTGAACAGCGGGACGTCATTTTCTGTTGTTCTAATGCACTTTCTAAAAAAAACCTTACCGTGATGACAGTTCTTTGCAAACTTTCATCGACTTAAATTCAACGATCACTGTGCGTGGCGTACAGTCACAATGAAAATGAATCTGGCGATCGATCGCTGCGCCGTGCATACATATGTGTTTTGATCGCTTTTATGACAACCAATCGAATGAAGTGGGCCTAATGATGTCAGTAGGGCATCATAAATACATTTTTCTTCAACATTTTCAAACCTCATATAGGTTGATTTTGTTTTGTATGAAAATCAATGGCAACGATGACTATTTATAAATCTTTTCACCCAAAATGCGCACCGTACGTGACAAACAATACAAATGAAGCTGGTGGAAGAAATTTGCATACACAGTTATAAGATGTTTTATTATCACTTTTATCAATAATTCACATTTTCACGGTTGATTTGATTCTAAATATATTTATGAAACGACAAGTGGAGAAGTGAAATTATACGGTGTATTCACCTTTTTCGACACACACACACACACAGAGAGAGAGAGAGAGGGAGAGAGAGAGAAAAACAACAACAATAAGCACCGTTTGGATTTTTTTCTTCTCTTCGTTCAGAAGAAAGTGACCAAACATGAAATTACCGGCGATGTTGCTCGTCGATCGCCTACATTGAAGACGCACGTTAAATAATGCATGAAATTACTATGCCTTTTCCTATGCATGAATCTTGTGGAACGATATTGTTTTATTTTCTCTAAACATCGTTTTCATCAAGGTTTCAATTCGGTTGTTTATCGATTGAATGACCAAGTCTAATGCAAAAATGTTTGTTTTAAATCGTTTAAGCTGTATCAAGTGTAATATTTACATATTATAATTCGATGACTTGTCAAAATAGATCGACGAAAAAACGTGAAGATATCCAAAATCATGCACACGCGCATTTGATAGTATTTGATGGTATTATGGAAACTCAATTCGTAACTGGAACAAAATTATCATTTCATGTAAATTCAGGCGAATGAAACGGAAAAAAATCAGACAGTGACACACGTATATTTCGTCTCCTGCAAAAAAAAATGCCTCGATCCGGTTTTTGTATGAGATTTTTGTTGAAACAAATTGATCGGTGAATGTATGACCTTGAGTAAAGCAATTTAAATGCAAGCAGCTACATGCAGGCTGCAACAATTGTTGGCGTTTTTATATTGCTGCCCAAAGTGATTAACATTTGTTTACCGTTTTTTTTCACCTTTGATAAGAGTCAGCCCATTTTGTTTACAGTGCGTTGGTTTAATGAGTGATTCTTTCTTCTTTTTTTTTCTTCAGAGAAAAAAGGAACAAGCCGCAAATGCAGTTTAAGTTTCGAAATATTTTGGTCATATATGCCATTGAAACAATGCGCTGACATTTTGATAAGCGTTTTTTTTGTGGGAGAAAAGAGAATGTACGCTCGAAAATGGGTTTCACATTCTTTCTGTAGATGTTGTAAAGAAAAAGTAATGGCATTGAAACAAATGACGGATTGAAAAATCAGACATAAAAATGGTAACAGTTTTGTTCAATAAACAGTTATGACTTGGCGCATGCAATTCCAATAAGAAATGAGCCACTTTTGCATCTGTTTTGCGTGTTAATAAACCACAATTGTGTTATATCTCGTTCGAGTACCGTTTAAACGCTCGAATGTTTCAAAACGACTTGTCAAAGAACGTTCTAATACATTTTAATTGCATCTCACACCGCTACTTAAATTGTTCTCGATCTTTTCAACATCAAATCTAGATAAAAACAAGGCATCCCGCAAAGCCAACCAGTTGAATGCATAATAATTGTTGAAATCTCTGTAATTCATACAACGTCCACCTTGAGAACGAAAAAGTTATTATTCTTTGAAGCGTTTAACGCTGTGTTGTTGTTTCGTTTCTTTTATTATTCGTTGGCTTCGAAATGCGACCACATTTTTCACTAATAAGTGGAACAACTTTGAACTCCCATTATGTCGGTCCGTTTTGTCATTGGTTAAACCATGATTTTATGCTATTTCATGTGTAATGAAAGATGCACTTTTTCCTCGTGCTACATAGCAATGGGACACTATGCAGAAATGTATCGAAATCAAAATGGTTTGCGTTTATACGACCATTTATGTGTAATTGTTTTTTTTTTCTTTCAAATTGGCTCAAGTCATAACCATAGGCACGTACCAATGTGAAACACTCATCTGTTGGTTCAGCAGCAATTTTGAATGCACAAATGCTTAGCGTGCAGAACGCGTTGTGCGTATATATTATTAAATTGCAACACATTCAACAAACGGAAAACCGGTGCATTAGTTCATCAGCCGCGTACATAATACAATTCATGCGACTTTTGATTGTTGCCAATTCAATCTAATAATTTCATCAAATCAACAAGTGTGTGCGCGCGCTCGTATACAACGAAATGGCTTGTCTGACAGCCACAACAGACATAGCAATAAAAAGAAATCGGCAATTGAGAGCTTAATTTGAATAAAAATTGTCCGTCGATTAAAGACTTATGAGACACACACATCAAAACATCAAGTGTGAGAAAAAAATACACAATTGAAGCACAACGCGACAAAATTAGATTAACGCCATTATGCTGAAATAGAGATTAGACAGAGAAAATTAGACAACGAGAAATGCGTTCACATATATCTTACTAAAAGTGCAAGTTTTCGTGGCTCTTATCCATTTTAGTTGCTCCAGCAAACACTTTGTGCGAATTCAACGCGAGATACAGCATTTAAAACAAAAGACGTGAATAAAAAGCGAGTTTCCAAATACGCAAATTAATTAGACAAATGAAATCATAACATTATTATACATTTCATATATGCACATGTAAAGTGTAATTTTACTTGGTTGTTCAGTCGAGCAAAAAAATAAATTTGAACCGAAATAGACAAAAGATGTTCACAGCTGATGCTGCTACACAAAACCATACACATTCGCTTTATTGCCGCATCAATTTATGTCTAATATATATTTTTTGTTGTTATTTGCTTCATTTAATTCATCTCAATTCAAAATACGAAAGTTGTTTTTTAGGCTAGTGATTATAATGAAGATTCATGCATATCACCAAAGGGAGTATTTCGTTGTTGTTTCGTTTCGCTGCTGCATTGAATAAAACTTATTAAATGGAAAAAGTGGAAATAGTAGCTCTCTCACGTATTCCATGCACGATTATGTATATGTAGCACTTACAATCGCATTTTAATTTAAAACTAGTGTGATATTCATTAAAATTGTGTAATGTTTTTTTAATTAAAGCAATTTTTTGCACATTTTTTTTTTATTTAATTTCAGCCCAAATCCAGTGATAAAGCAATAAGATTTATAATAAAAAAGTGTATTTCTTACATAAAAGGCCCCAAAGTGTGTTTCTGTGAAATAAATGTTTATAATTTGAAAAGGGGAAAAAGTGGAAGTTTTTTTTTCTTTCATCTTATAAAGAATAAAACAAACAAAACAAACAATTTTTTAATCAGCATTTTTGTACAAAGTTAAGCACAGATATTTTAGTTAATGCTCATAAAAGCAACCAGTGTAGCCAGTTCATAGACAACTTTGCACCGCCTCGAAATCTTAGTTTGGTGTAACATCGAGGAAAAAGACTTGTACGATTTTTTAACCAACGCAATCTACACATACAAAATCTATTCAACGTCAACGACACGCCTCATACGAAGTCTTAAACTGGAATTATATCGATTTTCGTAATCGATAATAAAAGCCAACGAACAACAACAACAACAACAGCATAAATCACACACGGATTTGGTTGTGCATTCGCCAACGAAGACTGAACAACCAGAGTGAAAAAGAAGCACCATGAAAATCATATTAGTCGGACTATTATTATTGATACATATGATCGGTGAGTAGTGTAAAAGACTATGATTTCATATAAAAATGCACACATTGCACCGTTCAATTTATATCTTATCGCATTCGTCTACTCTTCTTACTAATGACTACATTTTTGTAACATAATTGCTAATCTTATTCCACATTATGGCTATTATTTGCGATTCTATTTTTATCTCATTGAAATTAAAATTAAACTGTGTTTGATTGAACAATTAGGATTAAGTGAAAATTTCATCAACAACCAATCTCTGGCGATCTTATTCATTGTATGATAACATTGGCATGCTACATTAAAAAATGTTACATTAGTATTAAAATGACATGAAAACTAACCGTTAACATTTCATCCAATAACTAAATTGTAATATTCAAATTTAATGATCACAACATGACAAATTGTCTAACCCTGAATCATAAAAATAGAAGAACCGGGTTGACAGAGGCCAATCCATTTTAATGAATTATGTGAGAGGGTCTTATTTTGTTTCTGTTCTGGTGAATTAAGTTCATTGGCCATTGATTAACGCGTTCAGTGAATTATTTTAAGCCATTCTTGAACTAAGTGATGGGTATTATCGTTGATCAATTGCCTTTAATAATCGCAGAATTAATTTAATAAAAGATGGTAAGATACTTTCAGTAAATTATACGCTGCAGGTGCCATTTTCAGTAGTAGTAGTAGCGGTAAGAAGCGTTCGCTCAAGTGAATTGACGATGGCGCATGATGGTCGTGGTTCACGTTCGTTCAATGAATGCATTTTCATTTTTATAATGCATGAGAATTTCATGTTAAATCATCAAAACTAACATCACGATCAATTTAATGCCCACTGTTATGCACGAAAAAACCACATTTTTTGATCCGATGTAGTTTTGCTATCCAACTAACATTGAAGCTCATACATTGTATCGAAAAATGAATGGGTTTTGTTTACCCATGCTGCTCATGATTCCCTAATTATTGTCCATGTGGAATCGTGCAAAAAAAAAAACAACAATAATTGGCTTTGTGCATGAACTCTGTGGCCAATGGTAGACGACAAACCTTAACCTTAAGCCAGATAGCTATGTGCGCCACTGGAACTTCGCCAAATTCTTGCAATTGAAATAGGCTTTTGTTAATCAGTGTTTTTGTCAATGGACAATGTCGTGGTCAAACAATTCTATGATTGACGCTTGTTGTTGTCACAATGTTGTAAAGTAGCTTACGGCGATAACAATAGCACAATGAGCTTTGGCAATTGAAAATCTTATTTGCCAACGATGAGCGGCGAAATCATTTTTTTGGTCGGAAATTGGTGAAAACAACAAGCTCATTGTGATCTTGGCGATTTTTTTTGTCATTAGAAAATGAGAATAAGAAATATGATGATAAAAGATACATAGATGTGCTAATAATCAATGCCGTCGAAACCAAAATGTGGGTCAAACCAAATGAATTTGAATCATCGCCATAAATGCCGTCACACATACCATTGAGAAAGAGTAGACACGGTAAAAATATCTCAAAAAAATCACACCAATTTATAGTCATGCTTGCGTGGTGACACACTGAAAGCAATATACGCCATCATACCATTTTCAGTGGTTTCAATTTCAAAAGGTTTTTCACTTTTGGTATATTTGAGATATTTTCACTTTTCTGTGTCGATTCAAAACAAGAATGGAGTTAATGAGTCTTCCAGTCCGGTAAATTGGCACTTGACATGAAACTATTCGAAGTAAAATTGAGACGTTCTTTGGAACAGAGAAAAGAATATAAAATTCTATTTTGCGATTTTGACAACAAGTCAATCAAAAAAATGTTGAAAGTCAAGGACAGGTCACCTTGTAGTTGAAGTTTCATGGAATTGCTATCAATTGCGCGTGACATACGTAATTATATTCGGAAAAATCCGCAAACCTAATTATACAATATTGTGGTTGGTATTTTTGTGTCTCTTGTGTCTTCGCAAATTCCATAAACAGAAGTCGTATAAATCATTCATTGACCCAAAATGTTCAATCTTTGATGCATTTCACTTGTGTGAACATATTTTAACGAGGCGTTGTTTCAAGCGGTAAAATATTGACATATATATATCACACAAAGGTAGCTACGGGAAAGAAAAAAACGGTATTAAACAACAAGGTCATCTGTTGACAAAATGAATAATTGCTGCTATTCAGTGTCTATGCTTTGGATATTTAAATCTTATGAAATTATCGACACGTAAATCGATATCGAACCTTGTCACTGTAGTTTCTTTAAATGATATTTGGACCAAAGTGCGAACCCATTGCTTGAAAACATTTTCGAAAATCACTACACACAAAATTTGCGTTTGAAACGCAATAAAAGTACTCATTGTACAGATGAATCTATCAAGTACGCCTTCAATTCATTCCTTTTTATATTCAAATGATCGTCAATTGCTTAAAATCAACGTTCCGTTCTCAGAATAATCCATTGAAAATGTAAATTTCAATTGTTTAATTTTTAATTCATTGTTAAATCTAAGTCAAAATCGATTATTTGCAGTTCGATCTTCAAACTTCAGCATTTGCGCAATTTAAAAAGAATATTGCATAATGTTGGCCATTCACCACTTAATCACTTCTCATTAGGTATTGGCTATGGGTTGTTTTTGCATTTGGCAAGACACTGTAATCAAATACCGTCACTCATCTTCGATTTTCTTTTTGCATCGTCATCATTTCATAAATGCCAATAAACAGCTTCGCTGCTTATGTATCCGGATGCCAATACATAATCATATATTTGCACTTCGACAATTATATTTCTCGCTATGTTCAATTACCTCATTACGTCGTACCAAAGGCGACAATTAACAATCTATCAATTTGAACAATCAAAAACATCAATTAAATTGCGTGATGCCAATTTTAGTGTGACTCCTGATGTTATTGCTTTCGATTTTGGGTGTGCATAAACTGTATAGCATTTGTCAGAAGAAAAAAAAGTATATTGGCTGTAAAATGACATGAGCTGCCGTAAGCAAACTGGATCTATAGAGCTTGTTTGCAGACAAATTTCGAAAAGCAAATAACGTGATTGAAGTGATTGTTTACATACTATACCATATTTACAGGGTGTTCAGTGGTTCACTTACCTTTTATGACTTTGAAAACAATATTATTTACATGACCATATACAGCGTGAGCATATTCATTACTTCACGAATGTATTATATTGTTTCCCGTTAGACAATAGAGATCAATTGTTTTGTGTTATTGTTCAAGTGTTGACTTTTGCAATTGTTCAACAATGTTTTCCAGTTAGAAGACATAAATCAATCAATGAAACTTAATTCAATATGCAAAAGTCCCTTTGAAGAAAGTGTTATGCATGGGTGCAAAATTCAAGGGCAATTTTTACAAAACCAAAGAAGTGTTTTCAATTATTCAAAACAATTCACTCAGTGTCATATTGAACACACTGTACTTGTCGATTTTATTGCCGTCAATTTGGTCGATGCAGATAATTTAACGTGTACATTGAGTGGAGTTTCTTCTTCGTTTTGTTCGATAACAAATTTGTCATCGTGCAATGTGTCATCGGCGAAACGCATGCACTTTCTAAAAATAAGTGCGCTTTATTTAAAGCTCAAACTGAACTACTTTATTCTTCGTTTTTTTTCTTTCTGAATTCAAATGAAGTCATCGTCCTCGCGCCACACAAGTCACAAGAATTGCATATACGCGTCATCACATGTATGGTGGTAAGCGTTATGTTTTCTATTTAAAGCTAATCTAAACCTTTGTCGGTTCGGAAATTCAAATAGAGTACGGCTTTGTAAATTGAATGAGTGATCGTTGCGGCTTTTTTTTGTTGTTGTATTTGTGAAAGTTGATTGGATTGTCGTTGAATTTATGGTCAAGTATGTGTATATGTATTCAATGTTCGTTTATTCAAAACGACTCGATTTACACGTATATTTGAATAAGCTACACTTAAGTTGCTCTCATGTCTCTCTGAACTCTTTCTCTCCGTGGCACTTTTTGCACATTTCACCATAATAATTTATTTGCTCTTCGTTGCCATTTGATTACGGTCATTACATTATTGATGCACCGGCTAATGTGTGTAGCTTGATTTTCTTGTTAAAGTCGTTCGATGTGCATCGATCTAGAAGCAAGAGAAAACAAGTCGCTCAAACAAGTTGAGAGCCATTAGAGAAAACAACAAGTCATCAATCGGTCAATCGATTGAAAAGTTTTACTTGATTTTCATTTCGAAATTATTACGTTAACGCCAATTGAAGCAGAACCGATTTCATTGCATTGAAGAACGATGATGTCGGCGTCGTCAATGGATTACATTTATTAAAGACGATGTGATAATTGCCATTCTAGCGGTAGACAAATTGATGATGGTTTTTTTCTAATTTCATATATCATAATATTCATAAAGCAACCGATTGATCAATGAAGCCATCCAACTTGAACGAACGATTAAATTGTAATCGTTAAACGAACCAGATACAATCAATAAACCACTATCGATACAATGAATACATTATTGGCTAAGATGTTATTTAGACATCAATCTAACGAAGAGAACAAAGAGAAATTGTTACAAAGAAAGCAGAAGAAGACACACTATTTGGGTGAACACTTGACGGCCTTTTTCGTAGAGCGTTTATGAACAATGACTAGCGACTCAAAGCGAAATAAATCATCATTTTGATCAAAATCATAGGTCTATTATTCAAAAGATTTATTTCCTAAATGCATTAAGTGTGTGTACACTCAGTGAATATCACCCATTGTTTTGTCCATTTATTCGCACATTTCAAAAATACAAAACGATTTGCAATGGAAATCATCAACACATGAATTATTGCGCTTGAACGCCACATTGAAGCACTGAAAAAAATTTATTCAAAAACATGTTCATTTCTCATCACATCACCGTTTCATCTCACACTTCTCTCTCTGTGTTTTCCTTCTTTTTTATAGGTGTTCTACATTCGACGTGTGTATTTGAGTCTGAGTTCGGTTTCATATTGAATTGCAACTTTAGAAAATCGTCTTTGTTCCGTGTTAGAAATCTTGGAGGTGTTAAAGCACATTTTGGTTTAGGTAATTTAAATTTGAAATGACAAATGTGACTCAAAAATGTGTTTTCCATGAATCACATTCAATATTGACCGAACATACTATAAAATTCAGTGCTGGTTTACGTGACATTCAGTTTTTTTTAATTCAAACTCAAAAATATTCCCTTCAATGGCACTCAATCAAAAGTGGCTCGACTAAGCCAGTGTAAAATAGAAGCATGATTTGTATTAATGCGTTTTACGCACTAAATTAGCTTAAATCGAAGTTTGTACGTAATCGCAACCATGGGGCTTCGGGTATTTTGGTGAACTGCGATCAAATGTGAAACCATTAAACGAATCTTATAATTTTTCTATCACTTTTACTCTAAAACTATTTTTCTGCCTCACTCTCTCTCTCCCCAAAAGAAAACCTTTTGTCACCGCTTTCAAAATCAAAAAAACACATTGTAAATATATATCTATATTCGTCTGATTTCGTGTCTCATGTATTTCTTTCATTGTCAATTATATAATCGAAATTGTAAATTCCAAAAAAAATATTTCTTTTATCTCTCGGTGATCTCTGTGAACCATCTTGAAAATTACACAGTTTATAACCAGAAACAAAATAGCATGTCAAACGGTCAATAATTACACATATTTGAGAGACAAAAAAGAGAAAACATTTTTCATCGTCGGCATTAACATTTGAATTTTCTTTCCTTGTGTCGAACCAAAAAAAATGCATAACAACAAGGTTTTAGTGTCGGTGATGACCTCGGATTGGCCGAATCGCTGAACAATCTGGAAGGTGATAAACGACGATCGATCAGTCATGCGGACGCTCTGATTGCAACCAATAGCGTTGGTACGCTGCCAGCTTCGAAATTGCCTGTAAGTTGTTCGATTGATGTCTAATGACTTTTCATCTCATTCTTAATTAGCAATTTTGAACTGGCATTTTGAATTTGCCTAAATCAACGATAATAGCTAATTACCATTTTTTTGTATTATCAAGCAGCCACCAGCTGAAGAGAAACAAAGAGCCGTTCAGTCATTTCCATATCCATATCCTAAAAAGACAATGGCTATAATGCCAACAACAACTCGTGCACCAATTTTCTACAAACGAAATACACCGCAAGCATTGATGACCGAAGCACAATCATTACCGCTTGGGGTGCCCGCTTTTAGGCCATTGCAATCATCAGCCACAACCAATATACAATCGATGTTGAAAAAAACGAGCGAAACATCAGCCACACGCAAGTCAGCATTACATCAATATCCAGTGCCAAATTTAATGGCCGCCAATTTAACATTCATTCAATCGCAAATTGCCCAAGCAAATGGTGGTTCGATTAAAACGAATCCAATGGTCATATCACCGCAAGCGAATGCATTCAAAGTTCCTGTGCCCGCATTCCAAGCACTTCCATCATCCGTGTCGCGCATTACAACCGGACAAATTGTGCATGCGGACAATGAAATTCGAAAAGCAACGCCGGCCGTCGAACAATACTCCACTGTTCAACGAATTGATGTAAGTATTTTCAACAAAAGCGAAGATATACGGACGTTTTCCAAAACATATTATTTATATTTTAATTCCATGTTAGAAAGTTGAAAATTTCATTATATTTTTTTATCATATGCAGACAATCAATAGAAAGGATGATTTCGATGTTTCAAACCACAAAGCAACAAGCACTCAGCAGCCTCTACCCGAAATTGATTTAAAAGGTCATACTGTTGAAGAATTGGCTGCAGTGGCAAATGTTAGTGTTTCGGCCATTAAAAAAGCCATCGAATTACGTCAAAAACAATTGATGGCCGTACGAGATGAAATGGTACGTAACAAAACGCTCGAAGAGGAACTGAAACGAGATGAATTGATCGCCAAACAATTGGCCATGTATCAACAAGAACATCAAAAATTCCTGGCGACCAGCACCATTGAAGCACCAACAACCGCATCAACGACCACAACAACGACAACCGTCCGAACAACGACCGCAAAAAAAACAACACGCACTCCAATTCCACAGAAACTAACCGGAAAAGTGGCAACCATTATTCAAAGCAAGGTATTTGAGATAATTTTTATCGTTGAATTAATGATGCTTCGAAGATCATGAGATAAAAATGCGATCATATAACAAAATATCATAGTTTGCATAATTGATTTTTTTCTTGCAGGTGATGAACGCACCAAAAGAGTATTATCCGGTTGGATATGACAAGAATTTCGACGACAATTTCGCGACAAAGGTTGATTTACCACCCACCGCATTCCATTGCGGTGATCAAAAACATTTTCCCGGACTTTATGCTGACGTCGATTTGGGATGCATGGTATGTAAATATTTTTCGGTTTCAAACCGTCTCCATTTGATCATTGTCTCAGGCAAAGAGATGGGGGGAAGAGAGCTTGAAAAAAGCTTGATCGTTCTCCTCCAGTGCTACTCAAGCTTTATACTTAATATAAAATACTTTATCTCTCACTTGCAGGTGTTCCATGTGTGTGCGCTAACTGACGACGGACTTATTATGAAATCGTTTTTGTGTCCCGAAAGTACGCTGTTCGATCAAACGGTTTTAAAATGCAATTGGTGGTTCTATGTGGATTGTAAATCGAGCAAATCGTTGTACGATTCCAATTTGCCCGTTTCAAAGAGTTATCAATTGATGAAAGCGCTTACCTTTTTCTCGAACTTTAAAAATAAATCGAATGAAACCGAGCCAGCCGTTGATATTGGTGCGCTACAAAATTCGGTGCTGACCAAACGAAATGCCAAGAAATTAGAACCGAAAAACAGATCAAATTCGCAAAAAACGACGGTTAAAACGTCACAATCAACAACTACAAGTACAACGACAACAACAAGTACAACGACCCGCAAACCAAAATCGGATCCAAAAAAATCCGAACCAAAAAAAGATGAAAAACCGAACAAATCCTAAACATTATTTTCTGATTATTTCACGAAATAGTCGTGTTGAGTTAATTGGGCACTGTGTGATGTAGAGAACCATTTAAATTGTTATTTTCTCACTTTTGAGTTACGTTTTTTGTTTGTCAACACAACCATTATCATTTTGGTACAAATCATAGATTTGTATGCGATTGCCTCCACTCAATTCACTCAAGTCGCGTGAAAATTTATGATATAATTTTCGTGGGTTCCTGTGTGGTGAGAGACAGTTAAAATGCAGACACAATTTATTTATAATTTAATAATAATAATGCTTATAGGTTTAGTTTTTGGTCGAATGAAATTAATCATAGTTTCACACTCTCTCTCACACACGCGCGCACACACACACACACACATGTAAATAGGCGATGAAATGAATTTTTAGACATCCATCAAACTTAGACTTTCCATTTTTTTAATCCACATTTATCGAAGAAACAACACAAAAAAAATGAATGACCAATCAATAATTTAAAACAAAAATGCATGACTTCTTCGTATTTATTGTTTAGTAGTTTAAAAAAAGTATGCGTTGCGTCTTTGAGTCATTTACAAATTTAAGCTATATTTAGGTTTTTAGATCGAAGCACACACATACAATCCAATCATAAAAACAATTCTTAGTCGATTACTTCAATTCATATTGTTAGAGAACAAAAAATAATAAATACACATATTTCTTGTAAGTAGAAAAGTTGTTGTGCTTTTTAATTAAAGTCTTGGTTTTTTCTTATTCATTGTCAAGTTTAATTGTAGCTTCCTTTCACCAATTGCCGATTTATCATACCTTTCCAAGAAGTGAATTGCTCTTTGTGTCACCACGCAGAATAAATTTCATTTGATATTAATCTTGGTGTTATGAAAGTGGCCGATCTTCATTCCTGGTGACAGATAAGACAAGCGACGAGAAAACAGAGTACTTGCACTACACAATGCTATCGCTTTCTTTTCGTACGCAAATCTTGTTTCGTTGCATGCAAAAGATTCCCATCCAGACATGTAGCTGCATTGTGTTTCGCCATGATCAAGAAAGTGTACATGTTCAAATAGCGGTTTAGCATAAGAAAATCACACTTGCCACTGTGTACTGTGGATGAAGAGAAAGAGAACGGCAACTATAAATAGACGATGCAAACCAGATGCGAACGTAGTAACATGGTAAAATTGGGGTAAACGTGATCGAATTGTCTTAATGCGAAACATTTAACGGCATTGAAACTACTTCAAATGCACCAATGGCCGATAAACAAAGAGAATGCCAAGCAATTTTCCGATTCAATACCATCTACCGATGGAGAAAGAGATAGAGAGGCAAGCTTTGTGGATGCGTTTGTTTGTTTTCAATTTGATTTGAATCAAGTGCATGTATTCGAGCCGTACGTAACTTACCATATGGCCTTTGGCACCTGTACTTCCACATTGGCTGTAATCTTCATAGAAAGTTTCAAATTGAGAAGAAAAAAATCATAATCGACAAGAGTTACTGATGAAAAAACAACATATATATTATATATTTTGAAATATTAGGAAAGTTTGACGCCGTCATCAAATACATATACACAGAAAAAGGCAATTAAGCATTAATAATACAAATAATAATTGTAAAATTTATCGATCATTTCTAGTGTTAATCATAGTAATATCTTCACCGTATATATATGTATCAAACTCAATTGGCTACAAATTCTATGTGTGTTTTGTGAATTTCGAAATTCGTAATTAATAATAAGAATAATAGTCAATCAATGCCATTTTATTGAATGACAACCACCTACTGCCTACTCATTTAATCGTAAAATACTCAATTACACTCATAATGACTAATGCTCCTCTTCATCTGGCTCAATCATTTTACTGGGATGGGTTATTCAGCTACAAAAATATTAAAATAAACACCTTTGCCGTTTCATTTTTTTTATTTATCGTACAACGTGTAGGGCGAGCGTTGTATTTTTTGCCGATAGAACTTCGCAAATTCGATCATCAATTTGTTTCGACACTTCATGCCAAATGCACTTACTCTTCAAAATACTGACTTCTTCGAGAGGCGGCCTAAAGAGACACAATATCGTTATACAAATTCCATCACCTTTGGCTGCCAATGATCCGTTGCTTTCTGCACTGTTTGTCGCTTGTTTTGGCAAATGTTCAATACTCAAAACACCATGAGGTCGATGTTGTGGTAGTTCTGCCCCAAATAATTCAATCATAAATTTACGGAGTGTACCATGAATGCTGCGGGAGTGATGGATTTCAACGCTTGGAAAATGAAAAACGTTTTTTTCACTTAACAAGATATTAACTCGATTATTGGTGCGTTTTTTAATAACAGCGACAACACGTAGATAATTTTTCAAATGCGATTTTTGTGCGGGCAATACATTATTATGCCATTGTAATGGTCGATTGATTTCCTTATTTTTCAAGAAACGATGATAATTACGACCTAAATCGATCAAAGGCAAAATATCATTAGCACGTAAATTTAATTCATTCAAATCAGCGACCCATTTCGCTTGCAACGATTCCGCATCGGCTTTGTTCGGTGTTTTTAATTCACCGCCAAGCACACGGCCCGTACAAATGAAACGATACCATGATCCACCAGCACACTCTAAACCAAGCAACGTGGTCACTTCGATATTGAGACCAGTTTCTTCAGCCACTTCACGAACTGCCGCTTCAATAATTGTTTCATTTGCTTCCATTCGACCAGCCGGTAAATACCATTTTCCTGCACATGATTTTTTCGCTTCTTGTATCATCAGCACTTCATTTTGTTCGTTAATTAATACGCATGCAACGATGAAGGTCACCGTTGTGCCCAAGACAGGCGTAAAATCGGATGAAGTTAACGGTTGAATTCCCTGCGCTTCAAATACTGCATTTTGCTCTTCTAGCGTGAAATCACAAAGCGTGTCCACGTCTTCATTGATGGCCGAACCATTCAATAACAATTGCAGATTTTCTTCCACCGCTTGTGACATTTTTTCGCTTTATTTTTCTTATTTCAATTTAATATTCTTCAAATTCTATCGAATTCACTCAAGTCTGCGTTTGAAATTTCACAATAACCGGTCACAAATATATATGCACTGCGCATACGAATTTATATGCAAATGAAGACAAACAATCCAATTAAATAACAACAACAACAAAAGCCACTGAATGGAATTTAAGAATCTAAATGTTTCAACAGACGGAAAACGGCAAATATACAGTCGTTGGCCAAATTAAAACCCGATTTGCGTTTGTTCAATGTACGATTAGCACAGATTTATAATTTTTTTTTATATAAATTTCCTTTTAGAATGGGTATGACGATGAAAACAAAAAAAAGGTCCACCGAATGCAACGAGCCACTTAAAATGATTGTCTAAATCGTTTGAATACGAGCTGTGAAATGTGCAGGAAAACAAAGTACACAAGATATCGTTTCCACTTCTCTTGTGCGCTTCGCAGCTCTTGTAAGACACGTTAGATATAGTATATTGAATAGGTGATTTCTTCTTTACTCTCTCGCATACATTCAATGCGAGCTCACGTTTTGTACGCGATCACAGAACCGATTAAAATTACAGGCTTGTGTAGCACTCTCGCACGAGCTCACACTATCGCAATATACAGCCAATTTTGTGGTTAATTGTAAGTTAAAACAGCAATACATTTACTCGTTGCAACTAATGTTTTGAGCTACTTTTATGTGGCAAAATGTTTGTATATTACCACCAAATGGGTGCGAGCGCGCACATTGCAATACTAACTGAATTGGTACGTTGCACAGGCCAAAACCTAGCAAATTCAATGAAATTCCAATGCGACACAATGTGAGACTGGCGTAAATAATTCACACAGCGCCGACGATTGAGAAAGTTCCATTTTTCCAAAAATGATCAACAGCCACAACGTGATCACACACGCGCGCATACAACATTGAATTTAACAATAATAATCGTAATAAACACACACTCGATTGATGATGATGATGGCGACGACGGCTACAAAAGCAAACTGAATTCGAATTATTCTTTTCGGTTGGTTTTCTCTCTGTGTTATTTATCAATCGGTACTTTTTTTGCCTGCGCAATCTATTCTGAACCCATACGACCGCCGCTTAGTTCTTTCTTTAATCGCTCAATCGTTCGTTTGCTCTTTCTCAATGCTTCGTGATTTCAATCTGTGAAAGCTTAATGTTAGTTTTATCTTTTTCAGGCTTTGCGTGGCACTTGGTTCAACGATTTGGTTGCTGTTAGTGTTGTTGGTTTGTTTTTATTTCATTTTCTTTAACGCGCAATCTCCACGTGTGCATTTTTTTATAGTCGACCTGTAATGCGATGGACTGAAGTATGCCTTTTCTTGTGCGTTTCAATTTCAAATTGGGTTAGCATGCGATTTGGTTTGTTCTTGTTTTGGTACGCAATATAACTTGCTGAATGTTTTATGCTTAATTTGACGGTCTATTGATTTAGTATTTGTTTTTTGTTTGTTGCTCAGTCAGAAGTTAACACGTTCGAATCGATGCACGGCACAATTTCACCTGAGACTATCTATCTTTCGAAATCACTGAATTAGCGTATGATTGTTTCTTTTTTATGGTTGATTCAATAAGGTTGAACACTTTGCGCTGACAAAATTTATAATTTTTGATTATCTTCTTTCTTTATTGTTTTTTTACTTGTCTTTTTATTATTATTTTTTCTTTGCTGAATGTTTCTGATGACGTTATTCGTGTGATTTTCTTCGACGTTCTACTTCCGTAATGTTCTAACTCCGTCACATTTGATTTGTGATGTCTGTCACTCTGGATTGTTGTACACAAACTGAGCTTCGAAACCATAAACAACACAGAGCTCTAAATCCATGCGATGATGACATACATTTGCATACATGTATGTGTGTTGTATTGTTTCCCGTTTCGAACGAGTTTTTTCGATGGTTCTTTTCGATTTAGATTTGTTGCCTCACATATACCGGTTTTTATCAATGGCGCAATACACCATCGAAAATGAGCAAACAACGCACATCTTTTGTGATTCACGTCAATATATCGACTGATTTCGCACGCAATGCCCACAAAACCGTTTGATGGTGGAAAATTCTGAAATCACAAGAAAAAAACGAAAGATAGAATGAAAAAAAAAACGTTAATTTCTCTTTGTTAATTCAATTTGATATATGCTATTATGACTTGAGATACGATTCAATCGTAAGCGAAACGAGTTATGGGAATAGCTAACATCTTTTTATGCGCATGAAAATATTTTTCCTATCATTGATCTCCAAGAACGAGACGAAAGAAAAGAAAAAAAACTTTGCCACTTCAACCAAATAGTATTCTGTAAGATTTTCTAATGTGGCTCTTTCAATGCTCTTTCAAAGCAAATTCATTTAGATAATTGAATGACTGTCTTTAATTTGCCGATTGAACATCATCATCATTACGATCATTATACGACCAAATAACTGGAAAATCCATCTTCATTTATTCTTAACATCATCATCAACGATGCATTAACGCGTATTCAACGAGTCAATTGTCAATATTTACAATGAGAAACCCTTTTATTTTCCACAAATTTACGCTGCAATTCGAATGCGCCTCCGAGCTAACTTGATGGATATTGCACTTCATCAAATATTTCTTTGATTCACTTTTCACACATTTGTTATGGCAATAAAGTAAAATTGCATGTTCGAAAACCAGTTTGTTTCGATGTTTTTCTTGTGATCGGTTATTTTGTTTTTGAACGATGACAATGAATGGTAAATTAACATTGATTTATCGTCGACAATTTTTTTATTGTGCCAGAAAAAAACGATTTACCGCTTTCAAACGATGCATTCATTCCAACGGTATTACATTTCAGACAATCACATTTAATGTAGACGATTTTGCAATTTATTCTTTATGAGAAAAATACTTCGAGTTTTTTTATGACAAATACTTGTTTGCTCAAATATGATGAGGTTTCGAATCAGTGAACTTTTGTTGTTAGAAGATGTTATTCAATTCAAATTGGAAATTGAAGTCGACTTTATTTTCCAAATTTATTGTAATTTCAAAAAAAATTATTCCTGTTCTAGGTTTGGATCGGTCATATAGTAAAAAAAACTTTGCAACAATTCTGTTATGTTCTATTTGGTCAATATTCCTTCCAAATTCCTATCAAATCTTTTCTAATTCTGACGTAAATTAGAATTACTCACAAAATTCAGTCACATCCGGCGAATACACATTAATGATTGGTTTTAGCACTGATTTTACTTTTGATTTCACAATTTTATCGAAAAAGATGACTTTTTGTGAAGAAAAAAAAATCCATATATACTTAAGTCTATAAATAATTAGTTCTACTGACAGTGTAAATATTTTGCACACGAAACTGATACAGTAATACAAAAAAAAACCATGTAAACAATGTTTGCCCTCCTATAAAGGAACTGTCAAAACTGCATTGAAAACAAAACCAGTTGTGCTGATGACTTCATTGACAAAACGTGAAGCGAATCATTCACGTGGAGACATCTATTTCGCCGCGGCATAAAATACTGAACTAAAATGAGCGTGAGTACATGCCATCAAATTAACTGAACCTATACGCCTTGAAACAGAAAAAAAAACTAAAAAAAATTCAATTGAAATATTGCTCTTTTTATTGGTTTTTAAATAGAATTGAAAATATGAGTTCAAATTTATTATAATTTCTTAAAATCACTCATAGACTCATGTTATGGCCCGAACTATTCTAGTATGGATTTTATTTATTTTTTTAAGATATTCCAATAATGTATTCAAAAAGTTGTAAAATAAGCTTCATCGAACAATATCCGTTTCATGCATAACGAAGCAGGAAAATCAATTCTACGTACAACAGCTGTGAGCCGAGCAATGAATTCATCAAAAAACCGATTGCGTTTGTTGTATACAAATTCCATATATGGTTTAACTGACCATTCCATGTGATTCATATGTGTACAATGGATGATCGTTTCTGGCATGTTTCACTACCATACCAAAGAAGCCGCCGATATTAAAATGATATGAGTTGCGACGGTAGAGTGGTGGCTCGATTCGGATGTGTGTGCATGCAATTTATTGACAATAATCAAGTGCAAGGGGAAAGGAAGATTTTTCAATGTAACGTTTTTATTGTCCGTTCGTTCGTTCCATTGTTGTTGGAAGTGAAAGAAGCCATGAACACACAAGAGTTGGTGTTTGAATACACTGTGTCCCCATAAATTCAGCTAGCCCGATCAAATGTGGCGCGAATTTTGATCAGTCGTTTTTGAACAAGCCAACAAGTAACACGCTTTCTTGAAAACTGGACTGAGAGAAGAAAAATCCATTGGACAGAAATAAACACAACTTGGGTTGAACAAAAAAAATAGTTGAAAAAAAATAGTCTGTGAAAAGTGACGAAACGTGAATTATTTCTGTGATTTCATCAAGGTTTGATTTTAACATTAAAGGATACTCTTTTTTCTGCACAAACTCGATAAATCTTACAAACAAGTATGTAAACCAATTAAAAAAATATACAATTTCAAATGTTCAACGCAATTTCATTTTCATTGTGAAAGTGTTAAAAAGTGCATAAATGCACATTTTCATACTCTTGGTCACTGAAATTAAAAACATGACAATTCTTCAGCTCACATATGACAATCAGATAGACTTTCGAACGAGTTACATATTCGTGTTGCGTGAACACTTTCGAACGATGCTTTTAACGGTAGTTATGCATTGTATTGAGATAAGAATTGAACGGCATAAAATGTCTACACATTTTTCTTTTGATTAAAACGTTTTTATTATTTAATGGTCACGGCTCATTTTGAATTGAAGATGCCGAACAAAAATTTACGTTAACATCAAACGATCAAGCCATCAATGGAACTGGTTTTATTAATCCACATCAATCCATGGCTTCGATTTCGTTTTCTATTTATTGAGTATTTACATTAGTTTTCGTTTGAAACATCATTTAAATGAAATGGTGTCAAACACTGTAAAATGAACCCATAGATCAACCATTGATTTATTGCTCGACAGTAAAATCAGTTCATCTCTGTTCAAATGAGACATTTTTTTTATTGTTGACTAGTAATAATAATTTATTGCTAAACATTAACATATCATAATTACATTTCCACATTATTATACAAATGGGTTCACGAAAGGAATATTTTAACGATGCTAGATGGCGAGTCTTGTTAGACATTGAAAGTGAAATTTGATCCCGAAGAAATGGCCAAAATAAATGCATGATGCAATAGAAAGAGTCTTTAATCGGTAATGAGTTAATTCAGCTTTCTCAGCTGTTAATTATTATTAAATTGATCGAAATGCGATTATAAGTGTGCAGCATGCGAATCACATATATATTTATATGAGAAGTAGCGGAGCTGACAATCGACAAGCGTGTTAATATGATTGTCTATCATTTTCATGCATCATTTGTGATTTAAGTTGATTAAACTGTAAAGGTAGCAATAATCTGGCAACTAATTGATTTGCAATCGTAAACGGTTTTATATTTTACTCGAACATCTGTCGGTTCATCGAGTATTGACTTTGAGTTTTTTTTTCTGCAATCAAACTGCAAATCATCATTCAATTGATAAACCATTGTTTTCGTTGAATGTCATGGTCATTCATTGCAATCTATTGCTTTTTGCAAATGACATTCTTCGGTTGTTTTGTTTTCTTAAAGTGCTTCTCCGGCTGCTGCTTTCTTCTCTCTTTTTAATCCATACAATTCAAAAAGTCACGGTAATTATTATTGGTGCACGTTGTTCAATCATTAACTAACTTAATGGCTATTGAATAATTGCATTTAGTAAAAAGACACAAAAAGTGCACATACATGAAATTGGTTAGCCTTTAAGACTTGCCATAATCAAAATAACTAAGTGGCTTGTGGCGCGATGAAAATTTTTTTCGGTTAAAGCTTAAAATATTTGCATTTTCCGTCATCGAAGCTAAGCACTTCCCACTTATTCAAATTGAAAGTGCCATTGACATCGAATTCTGGCCATTAAATGTTTACACTTACCATGATGCAAGCAGTAACAACCATTTATTTCAAACCATTATCGAATTGTTTATTTTTCTGTTGCGATCACCATGTGTGCGTATGTCTGCATGCATCTGCATCACAGATATATGCAACGGTAATTGAAGTTGTTTGCAACGAGATTGAAATAGAGTGCCAGTCAAGATCAACATGTGCACGAGACACATGCGCGATATTTGTAATGAAAAGTGAAATTATTTTGTGTTCAGTAGATACAGCACATGTTTCTTTTTCACTCTATTTTATGCTGAAATATCCGGTTTTATTGATGCTTTCTTCGCATCCTATTCATTAAACCACGTCAAAATAGCAATTTATGGTAACAAAAAAACCAATAACCGTCTTTCATCAGAGAACAAATCCCATATCTTTTTCTATCCGATTTAATTTTTGTTGTTGTCTTTGGCATGGATGTTTGCAAAAGAAAAGAAATTCAAATGTATCTTTCGGTTTCTTTTATATTTCTGATGAATACAAATATGATAATGAAGTAGGCATGCATAGTTAAAATGATAATTGATGGGAATTTTTTCGAAATTGTTTGCAAAAAGTGTGTTTGTTATTTAAAAAATGGGTTTCGCACATCGGTACCCAATCGGTGCTTCCATCGAATTATCACCAAATTGTATGGTGCTTCCATTGGAGGATTAATTTTTTTAACTTATTATATATGTTTGAAAGGTTTTTTTTCTATTCATTGATTGAATGGTGCTTACGAGTCGTAGGCTATGACAATATGCCTCATAATCTGTGCGCCTAAAAAAGCACCTTATTCGCTTGCCACATGCGATATATGAACTCCATTTTCTCGACCAATCTATTTGGTTGGGTTTTTCTTCGGTGAAAATACTTTCTTCTCATTTGACTCGATAATTTAGTAGTTGTAATAGTTTCTCATTGATTGTTTGATGCATATTGCTTTGTAACAAAACTAATTGAACATGGAAGTTTCATTAGTCCATTAAACCACGGCGGTATATAACAAGGAAACTTGAAACGCTGTACTAAACAAACAATCGAATTAAAAATGCATACGCGTGCAATTGAATCGCAACGAAACAAAAAAAAAATCAGTTGAATGTAAACATACATTCTTCTCGAATAAAATAGATGCACGTATTACATAGCGAAAGCATTCGATTATTGTCGGCCACACGTGCGGTGCACTATGTGTGTCTGCAAAATTATGTTACGCACTTTACCATCGGAATCAATGCACACATTAATTTGCATATTTGTTTTTCTTTTTCCAACACCATTTCTACCAATAAATATATAGGCGAGATTAACTTGAACTCGAGCAGTAGTACAAAATACCAAATACGATTACCAATTATCGCAATCGACCGGTCGATCATTAACACGTTGAAGATTATAACAAATAACAAAAAAAAAACATAATAGGTTCATCATCTTGAAACGCAAAACGATACGAAAATGAAAGTACTAGCCGCTGTTATTGTTTTATACTTCTGTTTTGGTATGTTGTTTTTATTCACCAAGTCATAATTTCCAGTTCATAAAACTCTAGAGATTCATTATTTATTTTGTCTGATTTTTGATATTTTTCTCGCTCGGAAATTCAGGCATTAGCGAATCGCGTCGACATCCGAAGATCATAACATCGATACAGAATGCTAATCCACAGTTGCATAAGAAAGAGTTTGAATATAATGAATATGAGTATCCAACTGGAAATTCTCAACCAGTCGTTGAAGAGAGCCATGAAAATGAGGAATCCGAACAAGTTGACCACCATGAACATCATGAATCTTTTTTGCACGCAAAACATATTTCATCAAAGAAACCGGGATATAGTGCCGGTAGCGGATTAAGATCTATTGCGCAAGGTTCCGCTGATCAAGCTAGCTCGGCAGTTAACAATCAGGTAAAATCATATCTATACACTTTTTTGTGTAAATTTTTGAATCTTTTTTTTGTTGACTTCCACTTCCTTACAATGCATAATCTCGTTTTCTAGCATGCAGCAGCTAAGCAGGCAGCGTTCATAGCGCAGAATACATTAGCGCAGGTACAAAATTCACTCGCTCACAATTCATTTGGGTGTAAATGCTCTTTTAATACAATATATTTTTTATTTTATTTTGTTTATCTCTTTTAGGCCGCCTCACAAGCAGCAGCCACCGCACAGGTACTTGACTCGATTTGATTTTCCAAAGTGCTTTTATTTATATGATGCTTTTTTATTTGAATTAAACAGGCTGCATTGGCGGGTAAACAAGTTTTACTGCAGGGATTGGAACAGCAAAGTATCGAAGCACGACAAGCATTGGAAAGTGAAATTGCACAACTTCAACAAGCTAAGCGATCAGCAAAAGCTGCCGCGCAGGCCGCACAACAAGCATTGAATCACATTCAGGGTACGTATTTCGGATCTAATTGAATTATTTTATTTTGCATATCAACATTTCACCGACTCTATTTGGAAATGACATTGCACGTTGATTATTTTTATGTTTTTTTTTTCTTTTAAGTTTTAACTGCGGCACTCAATAATGCCCAAACGTCAGCAGAACACGCTCAACAAAGCGCACAAGAGGCAGCCGGAGAGCTGGCCAGTCAACAATCTATGGTCGGAGCAGCTAAACAACGAGTTGAATTGGTTGAAGAACAATTACATGCAGCACGGTAAACCAATTCAAAGTTTGAGCATTTCAGAATCCTTGGCATTAAATCTACAATATAATATAACCATTAATATAAGTATAGTGGTTATAAATACTTATTTATTTTCATTTTGTTTGTTTTGTTCAGCATTGACTTTGAAGCAACTCAACATGCAGCTACAAGTGCGGCAGCGTAAGTATTAGTTAGTTCGAGACAGTGAAAGAAAAATTGGTCGGTTCGGCTTCCATGCATCACCACCCAATAGTGGAATTTTTGAAAGTGAAGACATTTCTTACCTCAATAAATATTTTTTTTTTTTTTTTTTTTTTTTTTCAAATTATAAGTGAAAAATTGTTCAAATAATGAATATATAAAGTCACCTTTGTTGTTTTTTTTAATCTTGATTTCTTTCGTTTGAAAAATATATCCTCAGTTCAGCTCAACAAGCTCAAAATAATGCATCAGCAGCCGCCGTTCATGCCGCTATTCATTTGAAGGAAATTCCCGGCGAAGAATCGGTGCGTCACGATGATTATGCAACGAACCATAACTATGGCGGCTCTGGTCCTTCAGGTCCATCGCCAACCAGTGGCAGTGCCAACATTGCTCAATCAACAATTTCTCAATCTGATTTTGATTTTGCTGGTTACAAATAAAATCTAACTCAAACAACAAACTACATTTAGGCAAAATAAGTGTGTAGTTCAACAAACACACAAACAAACAAAAATCCCAATCAAAAATCAATTTAAAAAAAAAAATCATTTCTTTGGCCATTCTCGTGAAAGAGAAAGGTTTCAATTTGATTGCATTATTTATTGGTTCCATTTAGCTGTAAAAGCCTTAGGTGTATTATTTTGACGAATTAATGAATAGAACGAACACAAATTTCATCTATTATATTTACTTGAGTGCAATAAACATTTAATTTAGATCAATTCATTCCAAACTATGTGAAAAGAAAGACGGCCGCAAATTTCTTTGATAAAGAAAAGCAAAAGGTTTTTTTTATTTCATATATTGGGTCATGTAAATTTTTACATTTTATTTCACTAAATATTATTATTATTATTATAATTATTATTGGGTTAGTAGTAATTCATTAAATTACATAATCTAAAAAAACTATTCTTTTTTTTATTGAAATTACACGAAAAAAAAAACATTTCTATTTTTAGATACACTTAATCACTCAAGGATTGTTGCTTTTGTTTGTTTTCATATAGGGTCAATTCAGACAGAAAATGTTGAGAAAAAAAATCAACAAAAAACTACATATTCTAATACAATAAGCGGAAGAAAAAAAAACGATTTAATTCCCGGTTTTGTTTTTGTTACTAGTAATATATTGTCCGGGATGAATTTGAAGTAAAACAAAAATAAAATAAATGTCTCAACGTTGCGCTAAACTCTTTTCCAAATGTCGAATATGTGCGTGGACATTTGCATGAAATGAATCGATATTCTCCGAGTCCAATTTATTTTTCGTTTCTTCCAAAACACCTTCCAGCACTTTTGAAATGTGATAATTTGGATCTGTTGATAGTAAATGTGAGGCAACGTACATAATCATCGACAGATCATTTATTAGGCCCATAACATTTGAATCGCCATCAATAACCGATGATTGCAAATTCTTTTGTACGGTGTCCCGTCCGAGTTCTCTGCATTTTTCACGCAAATAGCTTGGCTCAAGCATCGCAACGGTGCGTGAATCTTTGGCCAAATCTCGAATATACGTTTGAATTTCGGACAAATATTTTTGATTGTCTCGATTCAATTTTTCCATTCCAATGACAATGCTGGCATAGCGCTGCTGATAATCCTCCGGGAATGGTTCATTGTATGATTTATATTGTTCGGCTTCTGTGTTCATGCTTTTCAATCGGGTCAATTTCATTTGTTTTGCGGCGAGCGTTTTACGTGTACGTATAATCAGTTCAAGTAAACGTAATTGAAAGCCACCAATCGATTCTTTGGGGAAAACATAATTTTTCAATTTGATTTGAGCATCAAAACTGCTGCCAAGCAATGGATCGCTTCGATTCAATTTGTTTACAGCGGCCAACGGTGATGGCACATAGCATAGACCGTTTATCTTTTGCCGGAAATTTTGTGTAATATTGCTAACCGGAATTGTTTCGACCGATTCATTTACAAGAATTTCATAATCGGGTACTGAGTGTGTTCCCAAACCGGCACGATCGAACGTCACCCGATATTCACTTGACATTGAATAAATTGCCTCAATGACACCAGTAAAAATGCCATCTTGTGGTTGACGCAAGCGTGCTGTTACTTTCGTTCCGATCGGCAGCGACAATGGAATTTCCTTTGGAAGATCGCGCACAAATGAAATATCGCCCGATTTTCGACTTTGCAACAAACGAATCTTTTGCCTTCGACGCTCCAATTCACGACGCTCTTCATCGAAAAATGATTGCGAACAACGCCTTGGTTTACCCATCAATCGACGAACCTTTGACCATTCCGGCCGTGTTAATAAATGTGTTTTTAATTGGGGAAATGATTCGCGTAAACATGCTTGGAACTCATTTTCACCTAAAAAGAAAAAGAAATTCGGAATGGATGTGTAATTGGAGAAAAAATGTTAGAATTTGAAATTCATAAGATATTATGTTGGAGTTTCACTTACCCAACAGTAATGGCTTATCAATGTAACTATAAAACCATTCGTAGCTGACCCATTTGTGTGCTTTTGGCAATTTAAGAAGGTTTCTCAAGCGCAAACCGATGCGCTGGCTAATTGCACGATCGATGGCACTGATTCCTGACGTCGGTGAACTCGGAACTGTTACGGTTGTGGGCTGTGCAACGGATTTTGAAGTCGATGGTTTCGATGCACTCAACGAATGAGATGACGGTACGATATCTAAAATAGAATAAAATTTGAATTGAATATTTGGCCATTCGAATTGGAAATGCAAGAGGTACCTTTTGATTTTGGTGTTTTCTTTAAATCATTCAAAAGTGACGGTTTCGATGCCGACGATGGACTTTTCAAATATTTGGACACGGTTCCTTTACGCTTTTTCAAATGTTTACTTGGCGAATGTAACGGCAATTTGATAGGAGTTTTAATCGGTGTTGATTTTGATGCACTTTTTTTCGTTGGCGATTGACGTAACGATTTCGGATCATTTACAATATCATCGTCGAAAAATAATTTATTACGTTTACGTATACGTGCCGGCATTCCGCGTGCATTTAAAACTTGAATTGGTTGCGCTGGTTTTTCACGTTGTGGCAATGCCGTACCCACACGATGCAAACCCAATGCAGCTGGTCCAAAGGCTGGTATTTCAACTTCTTCGTCAAACGAATCATCCTTATCTCTATTTCTGTCCGACATATTCTCTTTCTTTTTCTACAATTTCAATTGAAAAATATTAATCACCAATAAAAAATATCCGGATTAAAATGAAATTTGCGTGCTTTGAATCGAATTTATTCGCTTTATTTCACAATAAAAAAAAATAATTTTGTTACTGTCATTCATTCGTTTTTAACGTTGACAATTGGCATTTCATTACTGTACAATACGTGACTGTTGACAACGATGTATGTACTTTTTTAAGTTTTAAAATGCACAAATTTACCTTTTCGAAAACACTCCACACTATTGCCGTTTGGCAAAAATTAAATTTTGCTACGTTTTGAACAATAAAAAAATGTAAAATTTGTTGTAATTTTCAATTTAAATGTGGATTTTTTTTTATTTTCACATTAGCGAAGCGGAAAAAATGAAGCTCTAATCAACTTGTGAGCGACAACAACAAACAATCAAAAGTTATTGGCACCCGCCGCAACTTCACTCCAATTGAATTCGCCGCGATGTTCGGTTTATTTGACATTCGAGACAATGACACCGGATTTGAAGCAATTGGCGCGCGTCTTCACGTATGTTGACGTAGTTTCAGCATTAATTTCGTTTCAATTATAATATTATGCTAATTTTTATGTGATTAAAACCAATTGATTTTTAATTAGGACCGAAAAACAAATCTAATTTTCAATGCAAATCACGAAAAATTGTACAACTCTTATCCAATTTAAATGAAACATTAATGCTACTACAACTATAGTGGATAATTGAATTTTATTGTGTATAATGTACAAATATATTTGTATGCAGCGCGCAACTCAGTAATTTAATATAGGTTATCAAAATGCCGGTATCTGTGGAAAATGCGACGAAACTCATGCACCTTATGCACATACATCATTCTTTTTTTCTTTATTGACAATTGTACATTCGACGAATCTTTTCCACATCATATTCACTCGGACTGTTTATTTGTCCCAATTTACGACTGGTATTATGCTGTAATACATTTTTTTCAAACAAATATATTTCATTTAATATTCAACTGAAAAATTGATGTACCTTTGCAACAATAGTGTAATTGGTTCCACGTTTTGCAAACGCATTTTTCGGATAATGCATTAAACTATCATAATCATATGGTAAATTGAATGTTTCCACCAAATCGTTGTCTTTCTTTGCAAAATTGTGTCGATGATCTACAAAAAACAAAGTTAAGTCGAACTAAAAAATGAAAGTGTTAAATTATGTATGGTCTAAAAACTACTTGGTTCAATGTTGTCCCAAATGATGTCAACATATTCGTCTCTATCAGGTCTTGATTGTTCATGCCATAGTCCTAAAACGTGTAACAGTTCATGTTGAATCGCTCCAGATAATTTCAAACAATTTTCCGATAGATAAATATCAATGGGTTCGCTTTGATTCGCCTTGTAGCCAACCAATGTGCCACAACCGGAGTTGGATTTTTTGAATCTTATATGATATGTATCAGTGGTGCGCTTGAAGTGGAACTTTATGCACGTTTTCTTCCGAAATACTTCCATGGCATTCAGAATGGCAGCACGGTCTTTCTCAGTGTAGCCATCGTCAAAACGATATGGAACAATACCATTTGGCCATTTATTTGTCGACGATTTCATTGCATTACGATCATTTTGCCGTTCGTCACCCAAAGTAAACTCATTTTCAAAATAATCTTTTGGAAGTGAACTGTCACTGGCGCCAACACTAGCACTCAAAACAAATAAACAAACTAAATGATTAAGCATTTTAGCAACTAATAAACACCGAACGATTCTCACTGAATGATGTGTGTGGTGAGGATCGGACTTATAAAGGATTTTTTCCACTTATCCGTGGCATATATATTTTTTGGGAAAATGTGACCAGAATATTAATTCAAGAGATTATTAACCCCAATTCACCAAGCTGAATGACATGCATGTAAATACTTGCACAACAGATAGAAGCGATTCACGTGCGAGGCGATTGTGCGACATGGAATTAGCTCATTCGTGCTATTATCATCATCCCCATTGTGTTTATTCTAACATGTTAGTTTCCTCATACAAATATCATCGTTACGCTGCATTTATAATTCCGCGTTAATTATACAAACCGTTCATTCATTCAGTGGATATTCATAGTACAAAACGATTTCAACAGCTGTTTTTTTTTTTTTTTGAAGAACTATGCAAAAAAGAACAATGCACAAATGTGAGATTCCATATTTGGTATGACGTTTCATATTTAGCCTTCAGTTTTTTTTTTTCCATTTTTATTCTCGATATGTATGTTTCGTGATGTAATCAGTTCAATTCATCGGTCAAACTGAATCACACGTTTAAAGTCCGTAAATCGCTGTAATCTAAGAATTTCTGCTTTATTATTTAATGTATCACGTCGAATGTTGCTGACGAATTTATCGACTTTTGTACTGTGACCACAAAATATTTTCTTTATAAAAATCATGTCTGTTTGATTTTATCTAATCAAGTTGAAGAGTGTCAGTCCAAAAGTCGAATCAAATCCGAAAGTAAACTTATGCTTTATGAAATATTCGACATGCTTGGTGAAAGAGAAATTTAAAGAGAAAAAAAAACATCACGCCATGTAACTGATAACATTGAAAGAATTTAATGATAGTAAAAAAGAAAAAAGTGCGTAGATAGAAACTTGTTTGCATTAACATAATAACAGTAGCGTAACTATAAATATCCTCTACTGATTGCCATGAAGGTGAATTATTACATATTTGATTCTATTTTATTAAACCACTTGTTGTATCATACAATGCATGTTCTGTGTAGAACTGAACGTCAATGATTTATGTACTCATAGTGCACCATACATAGAAGTTATTATGATGACCGCCTCACTCTCACTTACACAAATCGAAGCGTGTTAGAGGTCCGTGAAAAAATGATCAGCATGCTGTAGCACTTGCAAATTGTATTGCGAAAAGAATGTGCGTGATACGAACGACTACATGAACATTAATTAAATCATCATACATAAAGTGTTACAACTGTGAGAGAGACTCACTTGACTGTGTCTGTGTGTTGCTTCAATTTCATTCTATCTTTGTTTGTACTGGAGCATTACGACTAATGTCTCTGTCTGAATGTTTCGCGTATGTATTCTATGTTATTATTGTTTTCATTTCATACTTGAAACAGAATCAGTGTGAAATAAAAAAAAACAACAAACATTTAGTCGCCTGACAGATGTACTGGCACCTGGTTGGCATTCGATTCGACGAAATTTATCAGTCAGTGAGAGTAGCTGAATCAAGTGTATTCGATATACACATTTAAAAACAAAATCATCACATTTTTTCCAAATTTCAATTTTTTCACTCCGTTCGTTCAATACGAATTTCGTCGATTTCTAATTCTATTTTAATCACATTTTCCATTTTTTGACATCATTATTTTAACGGGACAAATTTGTTTCTTCGGTTTGCCTTTTGAAAAAAAAAAAAGATAATAATTTTTCAAGATGGAAAGTTCATGGGTTGAGACAGCAATCAATGCAATTCGCGTTGTAAGTTTTATGTGCGATGTTATCACATTTCCCGTATATTTATTGGTACAACAACCATGGAAACGACGACAATTATCAAGGCGACTCAAAGTAAGTGAATCTGCGTTTTTTTAGAATTTTAAATCGTTAATTTTGTTTTGTTGCTGGTTTTTTTTTTGGTGTTAAAATCATTAGTGAGAAATCAAAGTCCATTTGTTCTATAAAATTGTAGTGTGATTTTATAGTGAAAACAAAAATTGTTGAATCAGATAGAGAAATCAACCGTTATAAAATGTTCGAAGTCCATTTTCTTATCTGATATACACTGTATCATCAAATCATTTTTAATCAAAACAGAATTGTATGAGTGTGCAATTACACTAAATGGTTTTATAACATATAATTAACGGCAAAATTGTTCGGTTTTAAATTCCAATTATTGCGGCTGCTATCAAAGTGCAACTTTGACATTTACAGTAGTGTAAGGACATAAGCTCATAATTCATTGTCATTGTCTGGGAGTGAAATTCTTAAATGGTCATAAAAAAACGTGTTCTGTGTAATACGATCAAATAAATATCGAAATTTGTTCATTACCACTCAATGATAACATTTTAGAATGAAATGTTTTCTATTATATGCTTAAATAGCGTCTATTGAAAATCCAGATGTAATTGCACACTAGACAGTTGCAATACGATGGTCAACGACTATTTAGAAAACAAACTCCTATTTGATTTTGCAAAACATTGAGAATATAAATTGAATTCGTTTCTTTTAAAAGGCAAAACCAATTTCGGCCGATAATAATGAAATTACATATCGTTCCGTTGTGCCTACAAGCGAGACACATGTTAAACTGGTGCAAGCAAACGTTGATACATTGGAAAAGGTAGTTTTATAAATATACATTTTAATGATTGATTTTTAGTAACCTTTACTACGTGTTTGCTTTTGTGTTTTGTTCGAATCAATTTTATATCACTGTTTGCTAAGATGTTGACCTTTGCAACAAAAATACATAAAAACAAAAAGTGCTTGGGCACACGTAAGATTCTAAGCGAAGAAGATGAAAAACAACCCAATGGCCGCGTGTTTAAAAAATACAATATGGGCGAATATGAATGGCGTACGTTTACCGAAGTTGAAAATGCATCGGCTAACTTTGGCCGTGGTCTTCGTGAACTTGGTCAGGTTGCATATAAAAACATTGTCATATTCGCTGAAACCCGAGCTGAATGGATGATCGCCGCACATGGATGTTTTAAACAAAATTTTCCAATCGTCACTATTTATTCAACACTTGGCGATGAAGGTGTTTTACATGGTATCAATGAAACTGAATCCACAATCATTGTAACAAGCCATGAATTGTTGCCAAAGTTTAAATCATTATTGCCAAAATTGCCAAATGTTCATGCCGTCATTTATATGGAGGATCAACTGCATGAAACCAAAACGAATGGTTTTAAGGAAGGCGTACGCATTTTGCCGTTCAATGAAGTCATTGAAATTGGCAAGAATAGTTATGCTGTTGCAGCTCCACCCAGCACCGAAGATATAGCAATTATTATGTATACATCAGGGTCAACTGGTACGCCAAAGGGAGTTTTACTTTCACACAAAAACTGTATTGCAACGCTCAAGGCTTTCACGGACTCATTTGAAATTTATCATGATGATGTTCTTATTGGGTGAGTATGATTTATTGTTTCGTTTTTGTTTGGCGACGATTCAAAATTCGGCCACGTTGTTTTATTCTAGATTCTTGCCATTGGCTCATGTTTTGGAATTGCTTGCTGAGAGTTTGTGCCTTTTGGCCGGCTTGCAAATTGGCTATTCGACACCAACAACACTTACGGATACAAGCAGCAAAATAAAGCGCGGTTGCAAAGGAGATGCGTCTGTTTTGAAACCGACCGCAATCACCTCTGTTCCGGTGAGTGATGACTAGGGATATTTTGGATTTTCGATGATTTGCTATAAATGAAATTTTTTTTAACTCTTTCAGCTAATTTTGGACCGTATAATCAAAGGTGTCAACGAACAAGTTGATAAAGGAAGCCCATTCCAAAAAGCATTCTTTAAGTTTGCATATGAATATAAACGAAAGTGGACACGAAGAGGCTATGACACTCCACTATTGAATAAGTAAGTTTCGCATGATGTACATTGAAAACAAAATCAAATTTACTATTTTATTTGTTGTGTTTTGTACCTAGGTTCATTTTCAATAAAATCTCGAAGACAATGGGCGGAAATGTTCGATTGATGTTAAGTGGTGGTGCTCCATTATCGCCGGAAACACACGAACAAGTGAAAATATTGCTATGCACCGAGGTCGTACAAGGTTATGGATTAACTGAAACAACCAGTGGAGCCACACTCATGGATCGTAAGTATTGGGAAGAGACCAATGAATGCATTAATGGATACATATTTTAATTTACACATAGCTATGGATATGTCATTTGGTCGCGTGGGTGCTCCCACCACAATGTGTGATATTCGCTTATGCACATGGGATGAAGGTGGTTATCGTGTAACGAACAAGCCGAATCCACAAGGTGAAGTCCTAATCGGCGGTGACTGTGTGTCAAGAGGCTATTACAAGTTAGAAGAAAAGACAGCCGAAGAATTCTTTGATGAGGACGGAAAACGATGGTTCAAATCTGGTGACATTGGCGAATTTCATTCCGATGGTGTTCTCAAGATTATCGGTAAATTCAAGAAAATTTGATAGAATCGATCGTGATACTTAATTAACAGCCCTTTGCTATTTCAGATCGTAAGAAGGATTTGGTGAAATTGCAAGCAGGAGAATATGTTTCATTGGGCAAAGTTGAAGCTGAATTAAGAACTTGTCCATTGGTCGACAATATTTGCGTGTACGCTGATTCTTCCAAACATTTCACCGTTGGATTAATTGTGCCAAATCCAAAGCACTTGAAAGATTTGGCACTTTCACTCGGCGTTTCCGATACATTTGAAAACCTATGCTCATTGCCGGCCATAGAAAAGGCTTTGGCTAAAGTTTTAGTTGATCATGGGCTTAAATGTAAGACAATATTCATTTTTAAATAGCCATTTATTGGAATCTCAATCATTTCTTTTGTCATTTTCCACAGGTAAATTACAAAAATTCGAAATTCCAGCCGCTGTGACATTGTGTAAAGATGTATGGACACCAGACAGCGGCCTCGTAACAGCAGCATTCAAACTGAAGCGGAAAGATATTCAAGACCGATACCAAGCCGATATTAATCGAATGTACGCTTAATACGAAAAAAATTTATAATACATTATATAGAAAATGTAAATAGTATGAATAGTTTTTTTTATATTCGATCTACTAAATCTTTGAAGGTTTAAATAAATGGTTTATTAATAAATCACATGTTTGTTAAATTATACACAGTGTGTCGCAAAGAAACGTAAACTTTAACGAAATATCCCATATTAGTTGCGCCATCTATTGAGGAGGATATGCGTTGGAAAAGTCCCTAATCGACTTTTCATCATTTTACCCTAATGGGGGGGGGGGCTCTGAATTTGTGGGAGACTTGAGGTGAATGGGCTTGAGACTAGAGGCAGAGCAGTACTAGAATAATAATTTTTGTTTAAAGTAATTCTATGGTGTGAGTAGTAATCCATATTGATCCGCAGTAATACACACTTGTGTAAATTCTAACAGCAGTGCAATGACGTTTCATGTGTACGATGTGTATTACATTTGTTAAGAATAAAGCGATCGGCGTATATTGAGGATTGAAACAATTTATTCGATATTTATTAAATTAAATTCGATATTTTCCATTTTTTAACAATAAAATGTTTCATCCGAAATATACGGCGATCGCTTTATGCCTAGCAAATGTCATACACAACGTACACATGAAACGTCATTGCACTGTTGTTAGAATTTACGTAAGTGTGTATTACTATGGATTAATATGGATTACTACTCACAACATAGAATTACTTTAAACAAAAATGATTTTTCTAGTACTGCTCTGCCCCTAGGCTCGAGACGAATATCATTTCTAGGGTACTTTGGGATGCTGATTCCGAAAATCGAGGTTTTGGTCCGAAAAAATCATGGGTGAAGGGGTTAAGACCCCCGAACCTCTAGGGGGTGGGGGGACTTGGAAGGCAGGGGTCATAAAAAATTTCTCTCGTAAAAAAGAGTTTGGAGCACAAAAATCAAACCAAAAATCATTAAACTGTAACGAAGAAGAAAATATTGTTGTGATTCTACAATATGAAAAAAAACAAATCCACTGAACGTCGCCTTATACCATTTTGTGTTGTGGATTTAAATTGTTCCAAATCCAACAAGCGACTATGAATGAATTCCAACAATAACAACTGCGCTGATAAGGATAAAATATCATCACTGACATTCTCATTCCATTGAATGAAACTTAGAAAACTCAGTATAGTAAGACATTTGCAGTGACCGGTTCGCGCATATTTCTATGCTTGCCTAAATACGCTAGGTAGCATAGATATGCCAAGCATACCGCAAACGCAACCGACGCATCGCCGTTCACTCTATATGAATGGGGTAGAATAAAAACTACTTCTCGAAAAATTGCTATTTTAAAACGAAACCTAAAAAAAATTTCAATAAAAAGTGAATCAATTTTTTTTCGTCCAATTGAAGTGAATCAAGAAAATTTTGTTCAACAAAAGTGAACCAAAAAAAAAATTTCACTCGGTTTTTTCAGTGTAAAATACACTAAAATGAATTTTTTTTTCGGGTTCACTTTTATTGAACAATTTTTTTTTGGTTCACTTCAATTGGACGAAAAAAAATTGATTCACTTTTCATTGAAAGTTTTTTTTAGATTTCGTGTTTAAACATTTTTCGAGAAGTAGTTTTTATTCTACCCCATTCATATGAACAATGCACATGTTCGTTTATGCAGACGACCGTGCGCATACAATATAGCTCGAATCGAATGGCGACGGGTGCGTTGCGGCTTGCGTCTCCGCTATGCTTAGCATAGCTATCAGGCATAGAAATATGCGCGAACCGGTCACTGGACATTTGTGCAATTTGAATTATAAAAGAAATTTTATGTAAAAGAGTTATATGCTACAATTTTTAATTCTAAATTCAAAAACTATCGCTCACAAATTTTCTTTAAATTTAGTTAAAATGGTTTATTGTGAAAACTGGATATTTTCACGGAATGTATGTGAAAGTTCCTAATTTTAAATTATTGATTACACAAAAAATTGAATTAAACAAAAAATAAAATGGAAATACTGACAATTTAAGTTTTATGTCTTACAATATTTTGGCAGATGGCTGGTGAAATTAAAATCATGTTTAAAATCAATTATTTTGAATAGTTCAGAATTGTTAAAAATTAAGTTTGCGTTATGATATCAAACCGTATTTCTGAATAACCATGGCCAATCAAAATTCAAAAAGTCTATGTATAATGGATCTTCATCCTTTTTCGTCCTTTTTGTTCGTCATTTTCTAAAACTTACTTCTAAAAAGAAAAATGGAAATTTAAAATAAAAGAATGATTCCTTTTACGTTGAATCTCGTTTGAGAAAAGTGTTGACTTTGATATCCTTGTGATAAGCAACTGGTTGTTTAAAGACATAACAATCGCTGTCCAAATGTGCTTCCAATGTTCCCAATCCAATTTCTTTTTGGCATAACAAACAACTCATGTTGTCGCTGTCATGGAAAATTGCATAAATATTTGCGCCTTTGAAACGTGTCCAAAACAATGCTTGTAATTCTCTGTCGTCCAAATGCATATTTTTATCATGAAGATTGCTGTTGATCACAAGTTGTGTGTTTTCAAATTTCATGTATGGTGCCACCTTGAAACCGGCAATCAATGGTTTTTTCAATGAATTTCTACGTACGGCAGAGGTATTCTTCAGAATCTCCCTGATATCCGCATTGTTTGGGTCTTTGTTGTTAAAGTTATTGTTGATCTTGAGATCCATCCCAAAGCGTCGATTTAAATATCGGAATGCACCTTGTAACAAGTGTACGTGCAAAACAGTATTCTTTTGCGAGGCCGTTTTTCTCAAGTACAAATCCAACATTTCATACTGAAAGACACGAATGATTTTCCTTAATGTTCAGTATTAATAATGACCAACAATATACAAATCTTACCAAAATCACTTCGATGAATTGCTTTCGTGTATAATTTTTCATCCAAATTTTACTGCAACGCATGTATAATTGTCGTTTGGTGAATGTCACTTGTTCGTAGAGGAATGCGGCACGCGATTTCAATGTGTCACACCATTCCACTTGTACACCGTCCAAATTACAATTGAATATATTCTGATCAATGGCATCATACACCGCCTTCAACGTGGATGTGGAACCGATAAATGTCGATTCAGTCATTTTACATGGCGTCGCTTTGTCAATTTCTTGTTTATTCACTGCAAAGAAATAAATACAAAATAATGTCTACTCAGAAATTGAACAAAAAAAACAGTATCGAATAAAACAGAAACTCTCACTCTTTGTGAAATATTTGAAAATCGTTGGAATCTTTAAAAGTGGATAAATTTAGTAAAGATGCTGCCAATTAAAGTTAATTCTGCGCGCAAAAAAATATTTTCGTTTCATGGATTACGGTAAAATTGTTTGTGTAATGTGCACTGTACAGTTTTAAGTGATTCACACAGGTTAAATTGTATATAATTGTGCGTCGTGCTGAAAGAATGTTTTCGTATTGATTCGATGCACTGTCACCAGGCGGCCGAACTCACTTCTGTCAATTGATATTTATTGTTTTCAGAAAAAAGTCATCAAAGTTCAAATTAATAAAATATATTTATTTAAATTATCATACATTTTTTTATTTCATTTTATAATAATCTTATTAAAAAAATTTTTTGCACTGTATGCAAAATTAAAAGTCCCACCCTTTGTATTCTTTGCACGTATCGCGATTCTCTTTGCGAATTCGTGTGATAGCACTCGCTTCACCCTTTGCTACGCATCGTTTACGTTCTTCTCGTTTCTCTTTAACAAACAACGTTTTTTTGAGGCGATCGGACACGACGCTTGGTGCAATTGTGCTGGCCGATGTTGAATATGAGCGTTGACTTCGGGCGTCAGATAACATTTTTTCGACCATTTTTAAGCGATATTGACGTGATTTCGGATCTAAATTGGCTAATTCATCGTCTTCTTCACCGCCCGACGATACATTTCCATCGACACTGTTGCTGTCGCTTATGTGAACATCTTTCACAAAATCTGTCATTTTTTCTATGTCCTTTGATTCGATTTGTGGAATTGGTTTTGGCAGTGGAATTTCGGAGTCAATGCTTTCCACAGCATCTTCAAACATCTCATCACCATCGTCGGCTTGTGCCAGCGACGTAATATAATTTTGAATATTGAAACTAAGCGCTTTTGATGTATCATTTACACGTTCTTCAGAGAATTTTACTTCAGCATCAACTTGTTGCCGCAAACGATCTAACTCTTCTTCGTTATTCTCTGCTTCAGCATCTGATGCATCTCCGTCCTCATCCAAATCGTCGTCATCACTGACGGCTTCCATACCATATTCTTTTAGTAAATCCTTTTCCATCTCTTTTGTGAAACCACTGCAAGCAACTTCAATGTCCAAATTATCATCGCGTTCCAGTTCATCAAAAGTTGGATAACCGGCACATTCATATCCGAATCGTCTACGGAAATATTCACGAACTCCATTCACATCACGTTCAAAGAACCTAATGAAACATGATAAATTGACAAACATTCATCATTCGATTAGCAAAAAAGAACACTTACATTTGGGCATTGGCATGGGATGTCGACACCATTTGTGGGAAATCAATTAAAATTGGTTTGGCATCATCTGTGACCATTATATTGAATTCGTTGAAATCTCCGTGAATGACACCAGCATTGCCCAAACTCACAATCAAATTCATCAAATCATTGTAAAGAGCTTCGACGTCTTCAACTTCGTGGATTTGTGTTCTGCGGAGAGAAAAAGATTTTCAAATTGTATTCTCTTCTAAGTATGCAATTCAATTGTTCAATGGTGAGAAAAATCAACTTACAGTGTATATCCATTGACCAATTCCATGATGACACAGTGACGATTGAAGTCGATGGGTTTAGGTACGGGAAAGCCTCTTTCATATAATGCTGTCATATAGGCAAATTCACGAGTGGCCGAAATTCGCGACAAATAAAGCCAAGAGGCCTTGTGTCGTTTGCCATGATAGTCTCGTTTCTCCTTGATATTTCGGAAACAAGTTCGACCCAAGCGATGCAATTTCAAACACAGCGGATTCCCTTTTTCATCCGATACAGTGTAAATGTTTGACTCTTTGCCGACTCCAATTTGATTACCAAACGAAGCGACCGAATCGCGTAAGGTAAGCGATTTCAATGCCAAATAATCGTAACCAGTGTTTGTTAAGCGATAGCCATCATCTAAATTACAATAAAACATGTTGACTTGACTGAGCAAAATTAGTCATCAATTGAGTTACTTACATTTGCGACCACGTTCGTACGACAATAATTTGTGTTTGCATAGTTCACGCAACAATTTATGGACTCCGCCTGATTTAAGATTAGCAATCGATGCGGCTAAACTAGCCGGCACCAGTTCGTGATTCTTCATGCCCATTTCAATCTATTCCAAAAGACAAAGAGTAAACCATGTAAATGACATACGAAGAAAACAAATAACCAAAACTCCGCAGTCGTAAATTCCACTTACCGCAGTCAAAACCCGAAAATCTTCTTTCGTTAAATAACGTAAGATGGTAACATTTAATTTACCCATTGCGGACAATGAACTTGAGTATCAACCTCTGGAAATTGTTGTTTTTATGTTTAAAAGAAATTCTATTTACTATGTGATGACCACGCGCTCGTCGAAAACACACACGATTTTATTGAAAAGTGACATGAAATGATGACAGCCAATTTGTGCACCAGAGGTCACTGCACGTCATTTTTGACAATCAGCTGCGACGACACTCAAATTATAGTCACTGTTATTAAAAGGGATTTATTTGTTGTTGCCAAAACAAAACCTTAAAAATTATTAATTGCCATTGTTTAAATTCAATGTTGCAAAGTGAGTGCAATAATTTCAATCTATTTCCGCCAGATGGTGAACACTAATTTCACCATCCAAAATTATTTGCATACATTGTTAGCAACAACTGTTTGTAGGAGTAGGAAAACAGACTGGAGAGAATGTTTGTTCGGTTTAAAGCAACAAATTTTAAAAAGCGGGTGTGGACTTTTGGTCACAACATTTTTATTAAAAATCAATTAAAAGTTCTGCCAAATGTGGTTTATTTTTCGAGTCAACAAAATGCAAAGGATAATTCAAGTTCATCTCCAGAGAAGCTTGATGATGATGCAACACGTAGTAATTGGGTGAAACCGGTAATAATTTCTGGCATTGCATTGTTTGCCGGTTTCCTGTCGTACAAGTATCTAAGGGAAAACGGTAAGGAAACAGATCCGTTTGAATTTTCATTGAGTCCGGCAGTAAATGCAGCCGTTGGTACGCTGAGTGAATCATCAAACCGCAAGAGATTTAATTTCTTTGCTGATATCGTTGAACGTGCATCACCCGCTGTGGTTTTTATTGAAATCAAAGATAAACGGCATGTGGATTATTTTACAAGAGAACCGGTCACTGCCTCGAATGGTTCAGGGTTTATTGTCGATTCAAATGGACTAATTTTGACGAATGCCCACGTCGTTATCAATAAGCCGCATACATTCGTGCAAGTTCGACTACAAGACGGCCGCAAATTCATTGGCATGGTAGATTCCGTGGATCCTGTCTCTGATCTTGCTACAGTGAGAATAAATTGTAGCGGACTTCCAAAACTACATCTTGGCAATTCGTCCGATTTACGAGCAGGTGAATGGGTTGTGGCTTTGGGTAGTCCATTGGCTCTTAATAATACGGTAACGGCAGGGGTGATAAGTAGCACACAACGCGCTTCAAAGGATCTTGGATTGAAGGGTAAATTGCAACCAAATCGGTAAAAAAATGGACAAACGAAAAGACGTTTAATATATTGTGTTTATATTTTAGGCAAAAATATCAACTACATTCAAACCGATGCAGCTATTACTTTCGGTAAATTGCAACCAAATCGAAAACAAATGGACAAACGAAAAGACGTTTAATATTATATTGTGTTATATTTCAGGCAATTCGGGTGGTCCTCTCATCAACTTGGATGGCGAGGCTATTGGTATTAATTCCATGAAAGTGACGGCGGGTATTTCATTTGCAATACCAATCGATTATGTACGGGAATTCCTTAAAAAAAGTAATCATGTCAAGTCAACTTTTATTCAAACAATTAAAATCTTATCAAACAAAGAGCATTGCATCTTCTATTTGTTTACAAATTTACGCAAATTCCCGGTTTCTAATTATTTTGTTTTTTCATTGACAATTTTTTTTAGGTCAACGGTTGCGCGATAATAAAGAAATGGTACCGCCACCAGTGCGACGTTATATGGGCATTACAATGTTAACGCTAACCGACGATATTTTGACCGAATTGAGACAACGATCCCATACAGTGCCGGTAGAAGTTAAGAGCGGTGTGTTGATTTGGAAGGTTATCATCGGATCACCAGCTTACAAGTAACATTCATTTTGATTTACATGCATCACTTATCAGTTTAATTTCTGAATGAAAATTTTCCATTTGATTTTTTTTCTTGCAGTGGCGGACTACATCCAGGTAAAAAAAATCACCTCGCATCAATTGTATAGTATTGATTCAATTTCAATCAATTAATAATTCTTCAATTCTTATTCAATTTATGTATTAGGTGATATTGTGACGAAAATAAATGGAAAAGATGTTCGGACGACCAGCGAAATTTACTCAGTGCTTTCCGAAAAAGGAAAGGCATTAAATATGACCATCTACCGTGGCACACAAAAACTGGAAGTTATGATTATTCCAGAGGAAATGGACGATTAACTGGGCAAAACAAAAATAAAACCCACTTGTATAGAGCTCCATAAAAAAATTGTATGGATTTTTTCCGATTTCATAGACTAAAAATACAAGTCACGTTTTCTCACTCAATCATCTCTCATTCGTATATTTGATATATTGCATATATATTTTTTTAGTTTTTTTTTTGTAGAATTGTATCCCTCTTGCATGAATTATTATTTTAAATCTTGAAATAAAAATGAATGTACAAAGATTTAAATGAGCGTTTTATTAATATAGTAAGAAATTTCAGCGAATTAAGACCATGGGGCGGAAATGAATGAGACGAAATTTTCTCTCTCATGGGCGCAGCCATATTGAAAATTTTGTATGCGCTTATATGTAAAATTGGTGGCGCCACTGGTATATTTGATGGAAAAAGAAGAACATGTTTGAGTCTCACTCGTTTATATGTAAATTACATAGGCATTTCCAGGCCATGATTAAGACACAAATGAAATGTGGTGAATCACACATTTCTATACGAGTTTTAATGTGGCATGAAGTAATATCAATATTTGAGCTGATAAAGAGATCTGGCATCTTAATTGAACAATATGTGTGTATCTAAATGATGTGGCAATCCATAGTGCGGTGCGATTACGTTATTTCAAATTATCTTCCAAAATGTAAATATTATTCATTCTTTTTCAGTTCTTACGGTTTATTTTGCGATGTTTTTCACAATAATATTGTGTAAGTTCACGGACTATGTCTGTTTCCTTGATTTTAATTTCCTATCTAAGTTTCATTAATAAACTTTTGTCGCTCTCAATTTTGCAAGGTCAACCAGTCCATAATAATAAAGATCTTGGATCTTATGTGTAGTGTGTGACCCACCTAGCACAACTACAAGCATAAGAAAGTCATTTAGTTCTATTTTGAACATCATCAGATTTGAATATTCTTTTACGTCTACAAAAGTCTAATCAAAATAAAAAAAATTAGCTATCAGATCCATTTCTAAGTAATGTTTTCCCCATTTTTTTGCAACGGTTACATGAACCTAGGTTTCGAAAACAAAGTGTGACGATAACAATATTTAATAATAAACAAAAACAAAATTGTCCGGTGAAAATAAAATTGCGTAATTGTTTAATCTTATTCGTTTTTATTTATTTGAATGATGCCATATACAATCTCTCAGAAAATCTCTGATCTCCGAAATACTTAACTAAAACTCAAGTAAGGTGTACGGTTCAAAATTATTACAAAAAAAAATAAATCTTAATTCTAAGCAGTATAAACAATCGATGTGCAACATCAAAATCTTCGGCTTAAAATCTACTATTCAAATGTACAAATAAAATCAGTTAATTAGACAAAATGTTGTTCTACCGACATGTACAAGTAGTTTTACAAAATCGTTCAATTTCTTGTAATCTCTCTCCTTTATAAGCGACACTTATCCATCTTGAACAAGAATTGTGTTTGGTGATGCATTGGTTTGAGTCTTGAGTCCTTTCTTAGTTTGGATGGTTCCATTTGTGTATTTAGCGTTGGTGGTTCCGTTTGATTTTCCATTGGTTGTCCCATTTGTTTTACCATTTGTGGTTCTGTTTGATTTTCCATTCGTTAAACTTCCGTTGGTGAAAATTTTCTTGGCACTATTGCCATTTGTGTACGTTCCATTTGTGTGTACTCCGTTTGTTTTGATTCCATTGTTTGGCGGTATATATTGAAAAATGTCGTAGTTATGTGAATAGTTTCGTGGCAAGTCAAAGTTTATTGAATCGGCTGCAAGATATGCCGCTCCAATGGCCATGGCTTGTGTAAGTATGATCAAATTCAAACCGAATTTGTTGGTTGCTTTGGCAATTTCATTTGAAAATCCTGTTTTCAATAGATTCCAGCTCTTCCAAACCGAACCGACGCAAACAATGTTCAAATTGTTGTTGGTCAATAATTTGTCGCTAACATTTGGTAATAATGACATTGTTGCTTTTGCCAAAAAACAACCAGCATCTTCGAATAAATGTATACAAAGTTCATCGCCTGCACTCGCTAAATTCGACAGTTTTTCGCACAAACTAGCAAAGTGGGCTTTGTCAAACTTTGCATAACAATGGTCCAATAAATCGTGACGTGTTTCGATGTTGAAGTGCTTTTTAATTTGTTGCCACACAGCAGACGTATCATATGGACTTAAAACAAGCTTATCCTCATGATCGAACACGATTTTGGTGGCTTTGTGAGCGATTTTAAATGCTAAAATTTGAAATGAGAAAAAGAAACGCACCCATTAGACAAGAATGAAAACAAGATATATTGACGCAAAGTAAAAATGACGGTATTTGAAACTTACCAGCTCCTTCATCACCGAGGAATGCACCCCATCCTCCGCATGTGTAGGTCGATCCATCTGGATTACGAAGCAATGCATTGCTTCCGGTTCCGGCGATCAAAACCATGCCTCCATTCGACGATGCAGTGAAAATTGAGCCCATTGTATCGCTACACACATAGTATGATGACGCAATATTTGGATATTTTGTTAACAATTCATTTTCGAGAATTTTATTTGTGGCATCCTGTTCGCAACCGCTTAAGCTCAAGCCAAGTGATTGAAGCTTCAGACTTTGATCGATGTTGGCTTGCTTCTTTGCCGATTCAATCATATCAGCAATGCGACGGGCTACTTCGGGAATGCCGCACACCCAATGATTTGTACTTGGTCCGGCCACTTTTGAGATGATCGATCCATATCTGTCGACAATTACGGCTTTTGAGTGAGTGGCACCACTGTAATGACAATACAAAACATGTAATTAATGATTTTTTTCTATGGACCTTTTATAATCAGTAATTATAAATTGAATTTTTATTTTAAAATGCAGTCCATGCCCCAATGTAAAAAACCGTGACTAGACGACTACCATATTGACCCCAATTAAATGGTGTAATAGTCGTGATAGTTTGAAAAGCGAATGCACATTATCGCTTTATTGGTGTCGCATTTTAGCCGACAAATTAATACCGATCATCTGTAATCGAATTCGAAAAAACTTCGTAATTTTGTGTTTGCTTGAGTTCTGCATCCACAAACAAAGGCGAAAACATTTAAAACATTTGTTTTTTTACGTCGTACCAATATGAATCAAGAGCCTGTCTTAATCGCACAGAGCCTGTCTTAATAGCAATAATGTTGCTATTATTGAACAAAAATTGTGTCTTGTTTTCAATCATATGCATAGCAATGACCTTTTTATACTGAGTCAATGCTTATCGTTATCACCAAATGAATGGTAATCTATCGGTCACGCACTTTGCAAACCTATATCACAACTATTTTCAATTAATGCGTGATTAAATAATTGAACGGAATTTTTTTCGCAATACTATGCATTCTCTGAGAATTTGTGAATTTTTTTGTTTGGGCAACTGATGATTACAATGAATCAATCACCTTCAAATTACTCCGCATAACGTTGAAGCGACTATAACAAATTGATTGGGATGTTTTTTGTTTGTCTCCGTTTTTTGTATCATGACTTAAAAAAAGACTAAGAGGCAAACAGAAGCCCACGCCCATACTGACTTTATCAGTCGACTCTGTGAATCAGTTGAAAAACAATCAAGTCAAAGTTTATCAGATGCGCCTTTATTGTGACCGCTGAATGCAAAATAATGCAGTACACACGAAAATGTGAAGGATACATTCACAAGAAGTAGACTAATGGCAGAATAAATGCGCGCATGTAGAAACCTGATTTGTGCCTCAATCATACACTAAATGTAAACGTTTTATTAGTATACTAGTTGGTGTGCAACATCTGATCAATTTCGACTGCAAATTAACTTTTTTTTACGTAGTTTTGTCTATTTCATATATTTCAACTCATCTCTGTCTTCCGCTCGTAAAATATAAGCATTTCAAAAATATTGAATCGGTGCCGCCCAAAAAAAGCGCCTTTTATCAGAATCGATAAATCAATGTAACAAATTACCTTATCATCTGAGTGATTGTTTTAACAAATGGAAATGTGATATGTGTTGGAAAATACAATTTAATCGGGGGGACTTGTTGAGACTTGCTAACACCAGTTTCCAGTCTATTTGCTTTCAATGTGCAAATACAAAAAAATATCGAATGGAATTCGATAAAGATATGCAATATGTATGTACTGCGCAAAAATACTTGTTTGAAATATATTTGCCATTCTATACAATTTGTCTGATGTTAGACTGATAATAATTAAACGTAAGCGCACACACAAATATGCGAACGAAAACCTGGCTAATTTAAACTAATATTTGACCTCCGTTTGCTTAAAATGCAAACAGTAAAAGAATGTTATAATTCACTCCTGCTACTGCACCAATGAGAAATCATAAAATACAGTGACGCGCACACAGCGATCGATGGTTACTGAAAGAAGTATAAAAAAAGGTATATCATACACATCAAACAAACCAGTTTCTTTCGTTTTTTTTATTCATGTGTACAGATTTGTTGGCGGATAGGTGTGTGCCAGCGCTCTCGTTTGGATTCGTCGATCGTGCTTGTGTGTATAAACAAGCGTGGGCATTTTTAACAACACTCTCGTCTAGGTTTTGCTCTATTAATACTGACTTGGAGACGTAATTATTTGTGGACATTGGCGGAAAATTCGAGTTTTATAATCGAATTGACAATGATAATTCTTCCCGTATAAAAAAAATGAACTGAATTCAGTCCGAGAAAAAACGAAACATTGACCCTTCACTTTTTATTATCTCTGTTGCCCTGTATTAGGGATAAAGAACCACGCACTCAGCCACAGAATATTCACACTGTCACTTTTATATAACCGCAATAACGTTATCTATAATAGGGAAGAGTAGTATATGTAAGTTTGGCCGCCTGATTCTTTGGTATTAAAAAAAACACGTTTTTTGGGACAAAACCGATTTGAATCGCATTCGGTCATGGACTTTGGCGAAAATTCGCGTCTTTGTTTATGTTTTCATTTTAACATTGTGTTTTTGCATCAATTTTTGGTCATTTTATTCGTACTTTGTCTATATTAGTGTTGTGTGCTGTGGTAATGTTGTTCAAAATGCAAATTCCAGCTTAAAACAGGTTGTGTTCATGATTCGTGATCGCTATTTATGTCTATGCTTTTTTTTTCTCACTTTGGTTCATAAAAAATGCCAGCCAGCAACAAGTTATATATGCCAAGCGACGTAACGTTAAAAATATTTTATTTTTGGAATATCACTTCTTCAAATTCCATCGTCAATTTAAATTCAATTGTTCGCTTTTAAAATGTGCATTGTCAAACGAAAACGGAGCGACAAAAGAGAGAGGGGGGGGG